AGTTTAGTAGCAAAACCATTTTGACCTACGGGCCATGTTAGGACTCTGAATTAGAGAGGTGGAGGCTGGGGTGGTGGAGGTAAATCTTTGCCAGCAACAGCGGTGTGTGGCAGCATTGATGTAGCAGGGATCAGTGAGTAGGAAGCCATATTCAAATGGACCGCCCTGTGTGGGAATGGGCTGTGATTGGTGTGTGACTGATTAGAAGCAATGATCCAATCAGCTGACTGTCAGCTGATTACAGCTGGGGTGTATAACTTCTGTGTCCTTCATGAACTAATACAAAGATACATTTGATGGATTACTTAAGGGGCTTACTGGGCACAGACCCAGGGGTCCAAAATGTCAGGGGACCCCCAGGCCTTCACTTGTCACCTTCACATGTCACTTAAATTAACATGTACCAGGAAGAGAGTCAAAATGATCAAAAGAAGACACAAAAAGACCACAAAGAGATTCAAAGTAACTGCCAAGAGATACAAAATAACTATGAAAACAGGCAAAACAGCCACAAGGAGACACAAAACCACCTCAATAACAAGCAAAATTACTTCAAAGCAACTACAAAAAGACACAAAACTACCTCAAAGAATCACAAAAGTCTGTGTTTTGCTCCCATGTAGGAGAGTTGGTGGAGCCTTTGCATATCTGTCTGCACAGGCCCATTGTCTCATAATCTACCCATGGATACAGCATGGTTTGTACATGTAAGAGTATGTCAGGCTGTACTGTTTCCTGTTTTTAAAAAGCAGATGTTTTTGCAAGTTATGAAGACTGTAACTGATTCACTGAGAGTCTGCAGCAGAGAAAAGGTGAAGTTATTGTGGTCTTATGTATGATTCCAAATTATGGGTGAATATGTTTGAATAAATCTTGGGGATCACTACTGCATATGTGGAAAAGTTGTATGAGACCTTACAGTTGGGGCTCAAGACTAAAAACGAGAAGAACTGAGCTCAACACAGCTCTGTAGCCTGCTCCCCTTCTCTACTTAAGGCTAATGTCTTCAGGCTAACAACATTAGCCGCTACTAGCATGACACACCACAGCACTCAAGCTGCTGAGTTGCATCATGGGTAATATAACTTTGCAAATGGCTCCAGATAAATACAACAAATATGATATGCTACCTTCACCTGCTCGAAACATGTTTAAGTATAATACATTTTAAAATACAAATTAAACCAACAATTAATTATTAAAACGTAGACTAACTTTTTGTCTTCTGTGATCCACATTAAAATGTAATTATGCATGAGTCTTCTAAACTAAATGCAAAAAAATGCCACATCATTAACATCACAGGCTCTCATCGTGCCACATGGCGCCACTTGTGGGGAGCAGAGCGGCTAATTAAAATGATTAGAGAGTTAGGGAGAGTTTCCCTCAGCTGAAATTTTGTAATGAAATTTGTTATTCTAATGGAGCGAGGGTAACAAATTTAATCAATCCCTTAGAATTAGCCTTTTGCCCAATTTTCTGTCAGGAGAACTGAATTTAAATCTTGCGGTTTGTTAAGTTCAGATGTGTCCAGCCACGTGCCAGTTAGGGGCCCAGAGTGCACAGAGCTCCTTCTCTATTACTGAAGATGTGCAGTTGGTCAGAGATTTCGCTCCTGAATTACTGTGGTAGGTATTTACTCAAGTGTGACACAAACGTGCAGTTTTGCATTTTTTTTCTTTTCCTTAATACCAACTGAGCATGGTTTAAACAGCACAGCCTATCTGAGTATTGTTGCTGACCATGTCCATCCCTTTATGACCACAGTGTACCCATCTTCTGATGGCTACTTCCAGCAGGATAACGTCATAAAGCTCAAATCATTTTCAAACTGGTCTCTTGAACATGACAGTGAGTTCACTGTACTCCAATGGCCTCCACAGTCACCAGATCTCAATCCAATAGAGCACCTTTGGGATGTGGTGGAACGGGAGAATAACATCATGGATGTGCAGCAAACAAATCTGCAAAAACTGAGTGATGCTATCATGTCAATATGGACCAAAATCTCTGGGGAATGTTTCCAGCACCTTGTTGAATCTATGTCATCAAGAATTGAGGCAGTTCTGAAGGCAAAAGAAGGTCCAACCCCAAGGTTAGGTTTGTATTTACTATAATTTCAGTGCAAGGATACAGGTATTGTTTGTCATTTACTACAAGCATGGAGCCGTAAGGCAGATGGTGATGATAAGTCTGCACAGCTTTGATTGCAGTAAGTAATTGATCTTGTCATAATTTGTAATATTGTGTTTGAACATGTAACAAGTCATGTACGTAAGATAGGACATCAAGTTATATGAGTCACTTGTTGTACTGTAATCTTAAATAAACCTCATTCAAGTTGTTCCTACCTCATGTCAGTACATTGGGTCTACACAAAAGTTGAACTGGAACACAAGTCAAAACTGGAATATGTTGCAGAATAAATGGCTTAGCAGGATGTTAAAAGAGCTGCTAATAATGCTTTTGCATGTTTTTTACTTGTCATGGGGTATTTTTACATTTTAGTTTTGGTTCCTCTGCTTTAAAGATCTGACTACTTCAGAGACTTGAGCCTGTTGGGTGGATGATTCGGCAGAAGTATCGCTGGAAAGCACATCAGCAAACAAGTGGATGAAAAATTTAAACAATCCATGCTCTCTCTGGTGGAGTTACATAACAGAACACTAAAAGGGGAAAACCAGCAATGTGGCATCCTGCAGTTTTCCAACTGAAACACTCCTCAGGCAATCCAAACAAGTCTGTCTCTTTTTTCTTTTCTTTTCTCCTAACTCTTCTGAAGCGGGTCATAAAGATAAAATGTTTCATCTGGTTTCAACCAGAAATCTGCTGGCACAATATTCCACTTAAGCACTTTTAAAACATGAGCCGTCTCGCAGACTGTTCTCATAAAGGACGGATATAATTGCAAAGTGTGGTCTGTTTGAAGATGTAGTTAGGCCCAATCCCCCCGACCCCAGTCTGTTCCACCTCAGGCAGTGTTGCTTAAACAAGTTCGAGCCCCTTTGCAGTCCACGGTGGAGCCAGACGCGTGTGGGCGTCCATATTTGATCTTAGAGGATTTATATTAGACAAGCCCTCTCATGTAGTATCCTGTGTACAGCATGAAATATAACAAATGTGGCTGAGGATAGTAAAATAAAACTGACCAACACATGGCACAGTTTATGTGAATGTGCCGTATTGAAGATCAAAACATTTGCATTTCATGAAATGCTTGAGATCTGAATAGCAGATAAAGTACACAATAATTTCAATATCAAATCACACACACAGAAAACAGTTGTTCAGCTCAGAGTGAGTCTTTCTCAGCTCAGAGTGAGTCTTTCTCATATTCAACATAGTAGCCGCTCTTTTCCGACACAAACCCCTTTTGTTTGTTACTTTTCCCTGGATTCCTTTAGAGTGAAGGCTGGACTTTGGATAGTTTATTCGCAATTCAGATAAACCGAAGGAGCTGCATGAATGAGGAGTCATACAATGTTACTTATTGGCGAGGCTGCAGCTGCCTCAGATCGAATAGCTTGCACAGCAAAAGGCAGTGCATATAAGGACATGCATCTGGGAAACAGGTCTTTCCAGACTGTCATCTTTTCATGGACAAAAAATACCCCTAATGCAATAAAGCAGAGGAGTCACACTTTGATACAGCCATGTTGTTACATGTCTGGAGCTGAGTCCTGTTATTTCGCTGGAGTGCTGTAGAGCCGGATGTGCCTCGGGAGTCTCCCCACCTGGAACGCATAAATCTTAACAGTCCTGGCAAGCGCTTTGCTATTAAAGCATATTTCTTTATGGTAAATAATATGGTATTTGTTGTCGTCTCTCTAAACAGTGAGCCTCTGTCTGTCAGTGCAACAGCAGAGATATATTTATAAAGATGGTTTGGGGCTTTCTCTGTATATTAAAACAGCACAAGCTATACTATCCTCAACCGCCCTCGGGGGCTTTCTTTTATCGCCATTGTGTGTTGCATTAAAGGGATATTATGTGTCTCCAGATCATGAGGAGAACACTGCACACACATCTGCTTTGACTGTGTTCTGACTGTTGTCAAGTCAATATGCAAATCTGCGGTTTCACCGGAAAGATACAATTACTCCTGAATGTACTCTCAATGCTCATCTAATGACTTAAAAGCCAAATTACATTTTTGAAACTGATCCTGTAGCCAAAACCGCTCTTACTACATTTCTCAGCTCATACTGTTTCATGTAACCAAGAGCTCAACCTATTTACGGGTGCTGTGAGGGCCCACAGTAGGACTTCAAATACAAACTCTGTTCATTTTGTTTCAGTATGTATCACAGACCAGATCAATGGGACACAGTTTAGTCATGGGTGGATTATGACATAATGGACCCCTGGCCAGTGGCATAAGGAGTTACGATGGGCCCTAGTGCACGCCATTATGCAAATATACCCCCCCCCCCAGAGTAAGAGGAGTCTTACAGAGGAGTAAGACACATGGACTTTGTAGTGGTTTTGCCTCTTTTTTTTTTTTTTTTTGTTGTTGTTGCTTTATGTTTCTTTGTGGTCACATTGTGATAGTGATTTTGTGTCAGTTTGCAGTTTCTTTGCATGTCTGAGTGGTCTTTTTTTGTCCTTTGTAGTCATTTACAGTCTTGCTGATTGGTACGTGTTAATTTGAGTGACAGTTTGCAGGTGGAGCCCAGGAGGAACTCTGACTCTTTTCATCCATGAGTTTACCCATATATGTTTTAATGTTCCTGAATGCAGTCTATCCAAAGAACATTTAGCATGATGATGAAGAGAGAAAGTGGCTTTACTTGAAAACAGACTTTACAATCACAAGTGCTCAATACACACCGGCTAACACCTCAGTGGTCCTGCATAGAATCCTGATTATTTTTTAATTACAGTACCAAATAAACATTTTTTCTAATTATTATTTTAGCTGCTCATAAAAACCATTAGAGGGAATTACATTAAGCTTAATAGTGACCTAATTAACAAGAGTCATCATCATAAAGATTTGGTTTCACATTTAGAAAACCTTTATTGTCAGACACACAGAATAAAAAATATCTCTCACACATTCAATAGATAAGTTAAAAAAGCGACGACCAAAAAAACCCACACACACACTAAGTAAAAAAAAAAAACACAGTCAATAAAAAAATATTGTGGTGTTTCAAAGGGAAACAGAACATTTGCTACATCCAGTATAAGAACAATATCTGAGTGCACATCCCAGTGGACGTGGAAAAAAAAGGCTTGTTCTTCATTAACTGTGTGAAAATCTGTGGTCATCCTTCAGAGATGCACTCAGAGGACAGGGAGCCCCCTGCAGCAGCAGCAGCAGCAGCAGCCTGCAATACATTTGTCACATGGCATTTACAGACAGACACACTCCCCTAATCAACCTACTTTCATATGTCTCACAGTCTTATATAACATGTTTCCAATAACAGGCACAAGGCCATGTTGCCCCAGGAGAACCCTTCCTCCCAGTTCTGACATGTCTTATCATAACAGAGACAGAGCACACAGAGCAACCACGCGCCTTTTGTTCTTTTGTACTGTGTAGGTGTGCGTAACTCCTCTGGGGGAGGTGTGGAATATTTTAATCAAACTCTCAAAGGCTATTAAAAGAATAGTTTGACATTTTGGGAAATATGCTTGTTCGCTTTCTTGTCCAGTGTTAGATGAGAGTGATAGCCTACCAATCTCGTATCTGAATCATAGACTGTATATAAAGATAGACAATGCATCTTCACTTTCATCCACTGTACAAATATGAAGCCAAAATATCCTGGGAGGCAGGAGGCATCCTGATCAGATGCCCGAACCACCTCAACTAACCCCTTTCAACAGGAAGGAGCAGCAGCTCTACTTCAAGCTCCTTCCGGATGTCCGGGCTCCTTACCCTATCTCTAAGGCTGAGCCCAGGCAGCTCACGGAGGAAACTCATTACAGCTGCTTGTATCCGCAACTTCATTCTTTCGGACATTACCTTGAGCTAGTAACCATAGGTGAGGGTTGGGATGTAGATGGACCAGTAAATCGAAAGCTTTGCCTTATCACTCAGCTCTCTCTTCACCACGATGGTCTAGCGCAGCGACGCTCCATTCTACCCTCACTCATGAACATGACCCCAATAAAACACTTGAACTCCATGCTTGGGGCAGTAACTCACTCCAAACCCTGAGAGCGCCTGGTCAAGACGTCCATCTAGTTAGCCTGGCTGGTCAGTATGTAGCTGGAGCCAGCAGCTGGTTAGCATAGCTTAGCATAAAAACTGGAAACAGAGGGAAACAGCTAGCCTGGCTTTAGCTTCATATTTACTGTAGGTGTGATTTTGGTATTGACTGTCTCATCTAACTCTCAACAAGAAAGTTATAAGCATATTTCCAAAATGACAAACTATTCCTTTAGTTGTAGTTGCACCATCTCGATTAAGAATTCAGGATAAGGCCATTTGTCGATACATTATAAGACTTCATTGTAAATGTGTCTGGAATTCTTCCTGGTTAGGATAACATGGAAAGGTATTTGTAGGGAAGACTCGTATTTAATATGTCTGTAATAAAGTATAAAAAGGATGAAAAAACACTTCTGTTAAATACAGATACCAATCCGCCCCAGCACTCAAGTTTTTAAAAGTCCAAAAGTTTAGGAACTAATCCAGCATTTCCATCAGGAGACCTGCAGGAGTTTCTTCAGCGTCATCCTGACTGACACCCTCTCCTCAGGCTTGCTGTCTGGGATCATATCAGCGCTCCTCTCTGCACTCAGCCGGATGTGCGGCCTCTTCTCTCTGACAGCCCGCAGCCCTGCCTGAGTGATGTTCCTGCAGAAGTCCACCTTTACCTCTTCCAGACTGTCTCCATGAGCTGCCACGCCCTCCAGGCTGCAGTCGGTGATACGGACGCAGTTCTCCAGGTGGAGGCGGCGCAGCTTACTGCAGCTCTGTAGCACGGAGGTCACATCCTGGTCAGTGATGTGTCCGCAGCCAGACAGGGCCAGGCAGAGCAGGTTGGGACACCTGTAGCGCAGACAGCAGACGGTTACATCACTACAGGTTTTCACAAACGTGATGGAGGACAACCAGTGCAGGACCTGTTCTGTGTCATTTTTACTCATCATGCCTTAGGGTGTATTACAATACAGGGAGGGATTAGTTTGTTTGGAGATGGACTAGTCTTAAGTAAGCTTTACTGTTTGGCGTGTGTGCTCATATTCAGATGAATGCTCTCCAGGTCTTGTGAATAGAATCAGATAACAGAGGAGAACATAGAGATTGGGGGCCTGATGTGAGCCGTGCGTGAATGAGATGTAAACAACACCACTGAGAGGCAGCAACATGATCTGTTTAACGATAAAGCGGTTTAATACCTAGACCAAGCTATCTTCTCTTCACACACTGTCCCATGTGGGCATGTGTTTCCGTCCTCTAAAAAAGCTTTTGTGAACAAATGGAGTATGGGGAACAATTACAGGATGTGTGATGAATTATAGCATGACAAAAATGCATTTTCCCATGCTTTATTCTACAGGATTCATTTTAAAGAAATCAATGCGAATTGTTTGCTGTGAAATGCATGTGTTCACTGCGTGTTTCCACCCAGTATCAGGAGTGCACTGCAACCTACTGGCAGGCCAGCAGCACAGAGCTGGCAACACAGACACTCTGATGGCAGCGGAGCGAGGATGTCATTCACGTTCACTGATGCAGATTACATAAAGACTTACATAATCTTACCACTTTACCACATGTGAGCCAAACATATTCCAGTTGCCTGCAAGTGTTAAGGGTGCTGCCCCAGTAACCTCTGAACATGGGGTAGCACAGTCAATCCACGTGCCCCGCTGCATTGCTACGTGCGGCCGATGTGGGGCTTTATTATCAGCGGATGTGGCAATATTGACATTAACTAATAAAAGAAAAGAAAAAAAGAGGAGGTGGGACAGTGGAAGCACAGCAGCTCAAAGCCAGCAGCATTTAGAGACTCAGCAGTCTCCAGTGACTACAGCTGGTGTGTAAGTGAATGGAGGTAAACATGACAGGAATAAAAACTTCATCAACCTTTGTTACATAATCCACCCTCTCACGGCACTTCCCCTCGCTTTGTGCAGATATTTTTGTGCTGTTATTTTCCCTAGCAAAGCGTATAACTATCCGCATGCCACCTTGTCTTAATCAGTCCTCATCGGATTCCTCACTTCTCACTCACAAATACACACATGCCTCCACGCAGACGTAGTCATGTTTTAGGCACATTAAGGAGCTGGCTCAGAGCGCTTCATGTGGTGGTGAACACACCCTGATGATGGCTTTCTCTATTTTCCCTGTCTGCTGACATTTTTCTTTTCATTTGCAAAACTGTTTTCTATCAGCATTTCCCAACTTCCTTGAATGACAAGAATGCAGATTAAATAATAAGTTCCACAGTTGACACAAAATCAAATCAAACCAGTGCACGCTGGAAATCAGAGAACAAAACCACCTCTATTTAGAAAAAAAAAAGGACCGCAGTATGTGGAAGGAATTTCTTATCGGGCCTGTTTATTGTTTTGCAAGATATTAATGGTTTTGCCCTACAGCAGGTTTATTCCACTGATGTCTTCTGTGTTCTTTGCGTCTGGTTCAGCTGCAGCTCTTTGAAATGTGAAATGAAAATCACAATGTGGCATTTACAACACAGGGATAATGCTGTGTACTGTTTACTGCAACATGGAGGGGAAAAGCAAGTGACATCATCCAATTTGTCTTCAGGTTATTCATCATGCTTGTCACACCATTCTGCGCACATGTCTATCTATCTATCTATCTATCTATCTATCTATCTATCTATCTATCTATCTATCCATTACAAAATGTCTGCAGTTTTTCCATGATGCTGTTCGCATTAAAGCAAACGGCACTGAGGGCAGTCTGGTCTGAGCTGAGCACAAGCAGAACACCGCACAGCTAACCTGTAATCATCTCTCTAATGACCTGTTTGGTTCCCTAACGGTTATTTTGTCCAGTCAAATTATCTGGTGGACTCTAAAAGGAACATACATTTAACATTCAGCTGCTTTTGGTCTCTCGAGTTGAGAGGCTGAACAGATTTGGGACATCTTTCACAGTCTATATTCAGACATGAATATTATTTAAAAGCAGCTGTGACTGTACTTTGTAAGCAGAAGTCATAACTTAAATAGCATCTTAAAAGATATTCAATTGGTGTATAGGAAATTTGGGAAAGAAACTACTCAGATATATCTAGCCATAAATGCCCCATGCCAAAGTTTCTTGTGCCACCCACACTACATGGCATGCTGAGCATGTTAATTCATGTTGTGTAACTCAAAAACTGTGACCTAAAGATAATCAAAATCAGATAAATGAGTTCCTGATCGCTGATTTAACATAATCTGGAATCAGAGGGGCATTATACTGTAAACCCACAGTAATGCTGTGTTTTATAGTTTTTTTTTTCCCATGAAGATAAAAAAAGACACGAGCTTGGCGTCAGAGTTTGCGTGGAGTCTTATCCAGGAAGAGGCAGGCAGAGACAGACGCACATGTTCATTCCTCTGACAGCAACAAAGAGCCAATTGTAGGCTCCACCTGCCTGCGTAAACCTCCAGTCTGCAGCTGACTGGGAGGGTCTGCGGCTAAATCACTCTTTATCACCCCCACAGCTCCTCTGTGTCCCCTCCTCCCACTTTGTCACGTGCACTTGCTCTCTACTCCCTTAGACAATTTGGGAGGGTTTATCAGTATGCAATGAGTGTGCCTTAAGGGCGTTGAGATACAGCACCCAGACAAAGTAGGTGGTTCTAGTTTTGACTGGTCTCGCAGCTCTCAGCTCTTTGCATCTCAAATTTCACAATACAGGAAATCCTCACAGGGTCATACACTGAGCCAATGAGCCAGCCCCTCTTCCCTGCTCTCGTCCCAGCCAGCTGCGGTGGCCAGGCTCCCTCACATCAACGGTTATTACTGGCTGCCTTGAAGAAATTATCCAGAGACCTCATTACGCCTCTCCTGCATGCAGCCAGCCACGCACACAAGGCCGGGCGCCAGCAGAGCTACGTTTCAGTGACCTATCAAATCCAACTGTCACATCATTCAATAAATATAATTTGATATCTGACCACAGTTATGTTAGTTAATAGAATCAGTCTTATGTCCCACAGATGTGTCACTTTTCTGTCTTTATAGCCAGCTCTGGATATGCCATCTGTTTCTAATGATTTTCTTCCCCTGCTGCCTACAGCTATACATGGCAGTTTCAGGAAGACATGTGCCTCTAAATGAAAACAATTTTGTTCCCCGTGGTGGGTGGGAACGACCCTGAAAACCCGGAAATTGTGTCATCAACCTCAAGACGCATCTGACCAAAACAAAACAAATGTCAAGATAAAAATGTTGCTGTGAAACACAAAACTCTGAAACCTCAGGCTCCTGTGAAACGCAGGGGTGGACAAAATAACAGGAACACCTTGAAACATAATGTATCCAAAATAATGATTACAAATACTCATGTTCAGTTTTGATTCAGGAGGGGTTGCTAATTCAGCTCATGGTCATATTTGAGGCTGGGGTTTGTACTGTGGTCCAGTGATAGGGGAAGTATTCAGATCATTTACTTGACTAAATGTAGCACCAGTGTAGGGGAGTAACTAGTTACATGTAATTAAATGACAACATAAATGTAATCAATCAAAAATATGTCATTTAATTACAGTTACTAATCAACATATTGGTCATTACAAAGGGGTTACATCTGAGTATATTCCTTTTGGTACAAAGTTTGTTATAAAATAGTTGTAAAATATAACATTCATTCTGTTGCTTTGTATCTTATAGCCATGCAGGATTACTTTCCTTGGACACAGCCTATTTCTCCAGCTGGCATTCTAATGTTTATTCACTGTTGAATCAACATCATACACCATGGTTGAATCACTGCTGAATTATGTTCTGGTTTTGAGAGATTAATCAACGTTGATTTTGCAATGTCAGTGTTGTTTCATAAACTTTAAACGTTGTTTCAAGATTGAAACAGATCTTTCTGAAATTTCAATGCTGATTTATGGGAGTTTTATTAACCTTTTTACAACCATCAGAATTAAATATTGTTTTAATGTTGAAACGACGACTGGCATAATTTCAACCACATTTCAGTGTTAAAGGTCAGTCGTGTGCCTATTTTCAACTTTGTTAGAGAAGTAATCAAATGTAGTAAGTTGCATTACTTTGACTGAGTAATTCAAATAGTGTAACTCAGAAACTGTAACCTATTACATTTCATAAGTAACCGTCCCAATACTTCCACACTTTGAAAATACTTAACTTGTAGAAAAAGTCCTGCATTCAAAACTTAAATAACTTAAAGTGTTACCAGTTAAATGTACTTAAAGTATTAAAAGTACTCATGCTGAGATATTGTTCGTGCTGTCCTGTGAGAACCACAGACCTGTAAAAATTAAACCCAGTGAGCTCAGTGTTGTGATGATGCATTTTCCAACTAATCCTAAGGGTTTTTTTTTATGGTTTACTCATCTTAAGAAGCAGGAGGATTGTCTCAACCAGTTAAGGAACACTTAATCCTTTTATTTATCAGAACATTTCAAAGTCACCAAATTTGGAGATATGGCTTGCACTGGGCAGGAAGCATATGTGAAAGTGTCATCTGAATGATAGCTAAAGCTGTCTGAGAAATATTGTGCCTATTTTTTGGGACTTTAAGTAACTTTTGTTCTGTTTTGTTAGGATCATTAAACTTATTAAGCACTCAAAAAGTTATTTAAATACAGACAGGTAAATCCCCCTTTGGGTGAATTTGTCCCAAGCAGACACTGTTCTGTTTAAGGGGCCACAAGCCAACAAGCCACAGCTTTAGATCATATTACAACAGGCCTATGCTGTAAAGTAGACACCTTGTGTTGTGTTGTTAACCCTTTGTTGGTCTATTTCATAACAAAATACATGACAAAGCAGGAGGGCAGAGCCACACACAAACACTCACTTATGGCAGACATGGGCCAGGAAGGTGCTGACCAGGCTCTCATGTTTACTGCAGATGTCCTTCTGAAACGCGCTCTTCAGCCACTCCTCAATGTTGCACACCTGCAGGACCCTGCTGGAGTACCAGCGCACTGCCAGGTAGCGCAGCGAGGGGCCCAGCACAAAGTTGTCCCTCGTCAGCTCACACGGGGAGTCGAAGTGGAGCAGAGTCCAGAGGTGGGGGTCCAGGAAGGCCTCCCGTAGCAGGTGACAGGTAAGGGACAAACTCCTCCGACTGTCCTTGTCTAGGAAGGAGAAAAGGTGGAGGAGACACTCGCGGTTGAGCTGGGTGAGGTGCATGGTGAGCCGTCCCAAGACAGAAAGACAGGCCTCGTCCCTGCGGCTGCTGCAGGCCTGCTGGTAAGCAGCAACAATGCGCCTGCAGCGAGTATTGTGTGGCCCAGATACATGATGCCTCCTCAGGCACACGCTGCAGGCCTGCACATATAAGGCCGTGGAGCGCAGGCTATTTTGGGAAGACAACTGGCGGCACGGTCAAAGATGGAAGTGTTTGAGCCATACGCTCCCTTTCCATCTGTCATATCTCTCAACAGGCGGCAGGCGCTGGACTGAGCCAGATGTTTACACTGGCCTGGCCTAGTTCTCAGATACAGATAAACACTGAGTGTGGCACGAAAAAGGAGGAACACCTCCAGAATGCATTGCTATATAACAGCCCTGCAATGATGATCTGACCTTCACTGTGCAGAGTGATGTATGTGCAGTTTGACACTAGGTGACTGTTTTCACATTAGTTATTTTTCAATCTAAAAATGTGTCTGGGCTTGGTGTGTATTTCAAGTTGTGTGTGTTCAGGAAGAAGATACTTTTCATGCTCAGGCTGTACATTTTCTTTCTCACCGTGCTATTCACTCCTTGCACACATGCAAACTCACTCTCTCTAGGTGTCATTGTCCATGGCTGACAAATGAGTCATCAGATGATTCACAATCAACCAGTAGCACAACGACACACCTCTGTCAGCCTGTCATCTTACTGCTCCACATTGTAAATATGGTTCTCTTTTGCTGTAGTTGTGCACACCCTCCACCTCCCCATCACCACTTAGTCTTCATGGATTCATCATCCTCATCCACCTCATCAGCCATCAGTCTCAGAGTCATCAGCCACCAACTCCACCAGTGTCTGGACTCCATGGGGCTGGGTGTTTATCTTGCTGCAGCTCAGACGTCCCTCGATCACATAATGTCTCCCAAAGGCGCCAAAGGCTTCTGTTAAATCTTAATCAGCACAAATCATCTGTTAATCTGTACACTCATATTCTGTATTGAATAATATCGTTACTTCATTCTTTTGTCTCTCCTGATTGAAATACATTTGCTGTATGACCACTTCCTCCCTGACCTTTTCTGGCAAATTTCATTTTTTGATCCATGTGTATATTTGGATTAGTAATGATACTGATGAAATTCCAATTACTTAGCTTGTATTAGATTAAAGAGCAGTCTCTTAGGTAAAATGTACGGCATTTCGTTTTTGCTCATTTCAAACCACCATGCTTCTACAGCTAGCTAAACACTGGCTGACAGGGGCGGAGATGGTTGTTAACACCTTTTTAAAAAGTGTTAAAACCAACCCCAGTGACAACAAAACACATTTTACCTGTCTATTCTAATCCTTTTTTTTAGCACGTGGGAAGAGTTGGTGAAAAAAACAGGCACACACACTACAGTCTTCATCAGATGAGGTGAGGCAGAGAAAGACAGCGAGGTCTGTCCCCAAATAATACTCTATCTGCCATGTGACACTGAGCAGATCCTGCAAAAAATGGTAAAACCACAGAGAAGGAACCAGAGTTCACATGGAATTGGGCGGTAGACGTCAGATTAGAAAACAGCTTTTGGACGGCACAGGAAAAACGAAACTTGCAAGACAATATGTTGTGATGGTAATGTTGTCTTGTTTACAAAGAATGAAATAAAAAAAGTATTTCATGTCTAATACTTTATGTTATTATTCTACTTGTTCCCAGTAATGGTTGTTTTCTTCTTGTGTGAGGAAGCTACATAACATTTGGTTGTAAATTCAGTTGCGGAGGTTCGCAAAAAGTTAAAATGGCAACTAGGTCCCACTCGGAAGTTGTCGAAAACCAGCACTTAGTCAGTGACTTCTGGTGTCAGACACAGAAGAAAAAAGCAATCCTTTAACATCAACATTATACGCGGCTGGTCGCCATTGCTGTTAAGGGTCAGGCGGAAACGCGGCAGGGCAACAGCAAAGTTGAGGTGGCAAAAAGTAAGAGTAGGGTAGTTGGGAGGATTCCAACAACTACTAACTGTCACCCAGGAGACTGGTGTTCGCTTCCTGTTTGAATATAAAGCCAAACTTAGTTCTTTTTTCCTAAACCCACCACGTGCATGTTGACTAAACCATGTGTTTGTCATTGAAGGAAAAAAATGCCAATTCATGGTGTTATACTGACGTAGTACATTTGTTTTGATAGAGACGGTATGAGGAAGAAGCTGTACATGCCCTGTGAAAACAGATGTGTATTTTGAAAACAATGAATGTAACAGGCAGAACTTGACACGGAACATCAACAACACGTCATATCAGCATATCAACCTTGCACGTCATATCTCGACGTAGAAAGTCCATGACCAAAAGTCAATATGAGACGAGGTCGGAGTGAGAATGTGTTAAAAATAGGCCTCACCTAATATCACTAAAATGATAACTGGTTTGCTGTCTGCTGTGTATATGTGTGTTTTTTTGTAATTGTGTATTTTTGTATTACTTCTTCACTCTTATTGTTACAACTGAGCCCCATAGTGGGACAGGTTGTAACACTGGAACTCCTTGTATTTGACATCAGTTCATGCAGTCTGTGGTGTAGTTGGAGAAGTTGGAAACTTTGCTTTTTGTAGTGGACAAAAAAGGGAACTTTGTGTCAAGATTTGAGAGCTTGAGCACAAAACTTGAGCCAGTTATAGGTGCTGAGACAAAAAGTATTACAACCATACCTGGTCTCCCCTACTAATATGTGTCCGCTTCATATAGGGAGCAAAACTATGAGGGTGAAACTGAAATATAACACAGTCCACTACAACAGAAACTTCAATGAGTTGAGTTTTCCTCGCTGCACAGCATCAACCATTAACATACAGTATAACCTGTTGAACCTGTTGTACTGGGCTAAATGACATATTAACCATATAACAATTATCCACTTTAAGTACCCTGACAGGTAATTAGAGAGTCTAATAATTTAATAACCTAAACCTGGCAAAGCCTTCGCATGAGTAAAAGTCACAAGCACAAACAGTGTTGCGTAGGACTCTGCCTCAAAGGAACACTGTGAACTATGACTCAGTGTTTTTAAAATTGCTCAACTGGTGCAGGGAGAACATACTGGGATGGCAAAATACCATAAAATATATGTCATCACTCCACACTGCATTGCCAGTTATGTCCTGTTCCACTTGTTCACGTCAAATCTCCAAAAACACACAGGACATTGGGAAATGCCACTGTTGGGAAGCTGATTACAGCCTGTACCGTGACTCACTGTGTCATGATGTTCTAAACCAGACCTCTGATCTGACAAGCATAATGCAATGTGAGCTTATTATTAGCAGCTGTGATCTAGCCTCAGAGAGGAAAAGAAAAAAGGAGGGGAGCGGGGGGAAGGCCACTTGTGTGTCATTAATGGGGACAGAGTAGCGAGCCCACAGCCACCTGTGAGCAGGCGAGGAAGAGCAGCTGTTCGTCATCATACAGGAGTGCTTGTTCCTGCCTGAGCGAGGAGGCTGACTGGCTGGCACGTGTCCCGAGGGGAGCTCTTATGTGTGTGTGTGTGTGTGTGTGTGGGCGGAGATGTTCACTAGAGAGAAGAGGGAAAACAACATAAAAAAGGCTGGCAAAAAATGTTTTGCTCTCTCTCCTTTAAGGTCGTACTTGGATTTATCAGAGGCTGGACGGGCTAATAAGAATGTTGGCGACAGTAATATAAACAGGGTGTGTCTTCTGCTGTTCATGTGTCCATCCTGACATTTATAATAGCAGTACGTCACATTGTGCACATATGGTATAAATAGTTTATATGTTAGATTTACTTGTCAAAGGACACAAAACACTGAATAAAAGTGTCTTTAAATTTATCAGGCCAACAACCAATAGACTGAGAGATAGACAGAGCAGGAAACCCTGCTACAGATAAAAGTGATTTGCATATTTAAATGGTCCTACAAAATGTGCAGGGCACCCCAAAATGCATGTATAAACATAGCCTTAAGTGGTGAGTACAATACTAAGATATTAAAATAACAGTTATTGACAGATTCATTCAGATTTTTACATCATGGACTCATGGTTCAGTTAACACATCATCAGTGTTTTTCTGTAAATGGCTTTTTTTGATTTATGTTTGCTAATAATATGTTCTACTCCTGTTAATTTCTATTTTCAGAGATTAATTTTTGATTAAAAAAAACTTTAAAAAAAATTTTATCAAACAATACTTTGGCGTCCCTCCCTGCAGCAACTTTGAGGGCCCCCTAGGGGTCTCAGACCCCCTGTTGAGGACCCATAAGCTACAGTATACAGTGAAAGAATTCCAGGCATAGAAGGATATTTTTGCTCCAGCATTGTCGTTAATATAAAGTCACAACTAATGATTATTGTCATCATTATCTGCCAATAATTTTCCTTACTAATTGATTAATTTTTTGGTCTTAGCATAAAAAAAATAGTGAAAAATGTATGTCACAATTTCCTAGAGTCTAAGATAATAGTGTCAGCGCCATAGATGCAGCAAGATATGCCTAAGAGACAACTAACACAACAACATATATCTTTTTTTTTATTTAATCCTTCACTTTTCACTTTTTGAGTTTGTTTTCTTTAAAATGTATGTCTATGATTTTGTAATGATACATTGTTAACTGAATTTTCACTGTCTTCAATTGTATTTGTGCTTTGGCAACACAGATGACATGTCATGCCAATAAAGCTTATTAAATTGAATTGATAGTCTTCAAGTTTTTTTGTCTGAGGATCTGTCTAAACCCCAAACATACTCAGCTTACTCAGGGTGTCTACAGGTATCAGACACTTAAATTTAATGCCTTTTAAGACCTTTTCAAGATTATTTTTTAATCAGTTTAGGACTGATTTTCTGAAAAGTCATCTTTTTCTTGCTCAAGCATTGCAGGTCAGTATAAAGGTAAGGTGTACATGTGTGGTCCTGTGCAGAGGCAGGTTGTATGTAGGAGGTAAGTGCAAGTATAAAGTAAAAACACAGAATTAAGTTCAGTGATTTAAAGTGGTTTAAAGATTTGTAACAGCAGGAATGTGGATTGTTACACAGAAGAGTTTGACTCATTTGGGCAAAAAGAAATTACAAGATGGATACAGTAAATTAGAAAATATTGTCTGTGGCGATTAAGACTTCACAAGACCTTCTAGCTCAAGATTACTTAATGACTTTAAAGGACTAATAGTTACTAAAGTGAAGACATTTTAAGACTGTCTAAGGACCTGCAGCCAGCCTCTTACAAACAGTAAATGTTCGTATTTGAGAAGCAATAACCTTTTAATGTCTGGCATATTTGCTTCAAAAATTACTTCAATGCTTAGTTGATCATCAAAGCAGTTGCAAATTAATGTTTTAGTGGCCTATGAACCATTTCAGCTCTACATTAACTGTCCTTGTTGTACAAATTAGAATACCTTGGCAAAGTCCGATGGCAGTGAATTACAAAATCTCTGATTGGATTGTAAATCTTTTGGCATTTTTCCTTACAAGAGTGAGTTGGCTGGATTCTACGTCTTTATTATTCTGACTTTAATAATCAAAACAATAGGCTCATGCAATTTTAAAGATTACCAAAAAAATTGGCACTGAGTGAATAAAAAGACTTAACTGCTTAAAAAGTAATGGCAGAAATAAACAACCTTGTCCTCCTGTCTCCACGCTGACTGGCTGTCATAATGAATTTGCTGGGTCACTTCAAAAGAGTGGTGTTCAGAAAAGGGTGAAATTTAAAGGTTTTTTTCCACAGATAAAAAAACAAACAAGCAAGCATTTGAAAAAGATTCTTCATTGTATTTTGTCATGTTCACTTTGTCTGATACACGTTTCATCAGGGCCCGTTTCTAGACCATTTCTGATCAACATAAAATCTTAAATTATACTCCAGCATCGATACAGACAAACAAAACAATTTGAGAATGATCATTTCTTTCACATTGGTTCTGGTCAAGAAGTTAAAACAACTTGCTAAAGCCCCACTGAGCACTTGTCAGTCAATAAATGCATTGCATTCTATATCCTAAAATCTCCCCTAATGACTGGAAAACAGAACTACGAGGTTTTTAAGAGGTGGAAATTACAAAATTAGACTCTTTGAAAACAATAGAAACTCCAAATATTGTTACAATGACAGTGTCTCGACACGATCAATCTCTTCAGTCTAGACTAAACATTGGACCAACTGAGGTTTTCCAAGGCTACAGCTTTACTTCACTATTTTAAACAATCACCTTTGGAATCTATTACGTACGGAGAGGTCTACCTCGACTGAGGAATACAACATCAAGGAAATAAACGCATAAAGTCATACTAAACAAAATCCAAGCAGCAAATTATACTTGATGCTGTCATGCAGGTCATAAAAAACAAAACAGTTGCACATATGTTAAAGGTGGAAATTAACTATTTAAAATCAAGCACTGTGAGAAATGTGATTGAGGTGAAGTCGAAATGGAGTGAGGAGCTGGTCTGAGGCAGTCTGACAGAATCATTGTGCAACGGCTTGTACAGTTTGACTGGCTTCCTCTGTTGCAGCCTTGTCTGAGGTATCTCTATCTGTCGCTGCCTCTATTGAAGCTGTGTCAGCTTCATGCAGTTCAGCCATGTCTTTACCCACATTTTCCAATTCAGCATTATCTGAGGCTGCCACGTCGTGGGTATTCATGTGCGAAGCTGGCACATCCATCAAAACTGTATCTGCGGCGACTGTGTCTGCTGCAGTCTTGTCCTGAGCAACTGCTTCTGAAGGACCACTGACCATGGCTGCTGCCTCCACAGCAGGCTTGTTTGTGGCAGTCTTGTCTGAGGCCACCTGTTCAGTCCTCTCCACGTAGAAGAGGATGTAGGCCTTGGCCTTCCTCACTGTGTCCTCGCTGGTCAGAGTCACCGTGCTGTCGTTGAAGTGATACCAGTGGCCCTCGTGGCTGCCATATGCTGTATAATGCCCTGATCCAACCCTGTGAACACAGACACATATATCACGTTCTGCTGTCTGGCTTCTTACAAGGCTGCATTTATTGCTGCTGAAGTGAGGACGCATTCAGCTCAGCAGTGCAACACCACCACCTAGAGGCCAAAGGTAAAACGGCAGCACTTTGATGAACAGTTCTTGGCAAATCTTAACGCATTTTCAAGGACTCTCAGCCTAATGCCTTTCAGCGTTTAGTGGCTGCATGAATTTTTAAACAGCAGCTGTCCACAAGGCTTTTCAACAAAATTACATCTGAATTGTTTATATAACAAGCAGGAGACAGACAGCCAACTGCGGTAGGCAGAACTGCTCGGCAAATGATGTTTAGATTCATAGTTGAGTGCTGACTTTTCTTTTCTCTTCTCCAGATGTTAATTGTGCTACCATGGTGACAGAAGCACATCTTGCATGTGTGTGAGCACATGATCAGCCGTCGGCTGGAGGAGGGGGAAAAAACACCTCTCGACCCCAAAGAAGTCTGACAAATATGCAAGATGCTGCAGTGCTCTATGTGCTGTTTGCGCTCATTTAAAAGAAAGCAAATATAATCAAACAGATGAAGCTTGAACAAATATTAATTTCAACTTCTCCATTTGTGTGTTTGAACAGGGATACTTCATCGACTCACCCCGATCCATGATGCACTACGACAGCGACGAGGTCATACAGGCAGCTTTCTGGTAATGAGTTCTCTGGCTGCAAACATGAAAAAGACAAAATAAGATATTTCCTTCTGGGCTCTAAATGCCACTGAAAAAAATCACGCCTCAGAGATTTACAACTGAGAGGAAACACTTTGCATCTGGACATGTATGCAAAACCAAGGTTTCACACACAAATGTCAGAAAGGACATGAAAATGATGGTAACCTTGGTGGTCAGAATGACAACAGGTTCATAGGTGTTTAATAGAAAGACAAAAAAACATTAAAGAATGATATCAAATAGAAGGGTGTATGGCGAGGGCAGACCTTAGCCAAGGCCAAACGACCTATCTGACAGTGTTAACTAAAGTGAAAAGTAATTTGTGTGTCCGCCCCGAGATTCGGATCCACTCCAGAATTCTTACTCGGCCTATGCTAAACACTTCCACCAAGTGTCATGAAAATCAGGCCAGTGGTTTTTTTATAATCATGCCGACAGACAAACTGAACCGGGAAACTCCAGTTTACACGAGTACCTCGCTCCGAGTTTGTCAGATAACAGAACTGCTGTTGAACAGTGACCCCTGGAGGCATTGGTTTAGAAACTTAAGAGTCTAATCTTTGACACAGAAATGCACAAAATAATCTTATCAAAAGTCGGTGAAAATTCTCAGTCATCCAGGTCATGGTAATCCTAAGTGCTATATCGTAGGCAACTGGACTTGCTTGTGATTCTTAATGACATAGGGGTCACGTGAGCAACCTATGACCCTGCTAGGGTTCCCACCCACACAGGGTTTATAGCCTGCAACTTCGTACCAGTCATTTAGCTTCTTGGATGAGAGGCGAAACGTCTTCAAGAAATGCAAGCAAGTCCAGTTGCCTACAATATAGCAATCTTATCAAAACTGCATCAGCAGCAAGTGTGCCATGCAGTCATGGAAACAAGAAATAATAACTTTATTTGTATAGCACAGTTCATACAGCAAGTGCAACTCAATGCGCTTTACATAGTAAACATATCAGAGAACATATCAGATAAATAGTCAGGAGCCAGTCCATTAAGAGATTTAAAAACTGAAAGCAGAATTTTACAATTAATTCCAAAAAGAAAAGAAAGCAAAAGAAGAGTGTGACATGCTCAGTCATGGAAACAAATGCGGGTGTCCTACATGGCTGGCTGCAGATCTGTCACCAAAACAGGTATCACCTAGTGATCCAAATAATAAATAATCAATGCACTACAGATGGTGGTGCTGTGGCACAGCTCACCGCCCATCACACTTCATTCATAATGTAACATTTAGAGTTCTTTATTTTATTGCTTTAAAGTCTAACAGCTTTTTTTTCATTGATTAATCTGTCAACTATTTTTTTGATAAATCGCTCAGTTGATTAATTGTTGGAAAACGGTAATATATTCCGCACGTCTCCGATGTCTTCTAATGTCTTGTATTGCCTGACCAACAGTCCAAAACCCAAACATAGTCAGTTATCATAGGAAATGAAGAAATCCTTACATTTAAGACTCTGAATTCTAGGCATTTCTATTTAAAGACTTAATCAACTATCAAAATAGTTGCAGATAAGTTTGATGCTGATGAATTAATTGTTTTTCAGCTTTATTAGTGCGCATGATGCATCATTTTATTATGGATGTAGTGTATCTCTGGTCTGCCAGCAGAGGCTAACACTGATCTCTCTAGTTGCCAACTTCATAACATGCTTTTTTCTCTGTGGATATAGAGGAAAAATTCTGTTTGACTAAATCACCAGTTTAGCGAAGGAGACAAAGATTTATGTGTATTAAAAAAAAACTCCTAAATCTATATCTATTCAAATTGTTGATTTTTTATGATGTCTGCAGCTCCTCTGTTTGTGCCCAACGCACAGTGCAGCCATTTTAGTTCGTCATGTTTCACATGCATTACAAAATCAGTTGTCTAGCGTTTTGCTTGAGATCTTTCCATGCTGTGACTAGTGTCCTGACTCCTTTTTTAAGTTACCAAACCATAACCCTTCATTACAAAGGTTTTAATTTGGCACAAGTACTCAAAGTTCTTGTGGTATTGTGTTGTTTCCTGCAAGTATGACTGGAGTAATACCAATAAAACTTCCCTTATGACCACTTTGCCTTACTTGTATTTCTCTTGGAATCTTCCATTATAGCAGACACAGAAAAGCAGGATTGGATTATTAATACAAGTCTTTGTGGGGATGTTTATTTTGCAAAGCTACAGCTAATTTCAACAGAGGTCTCTTAAAGAGCACAGCTGGCCTCTGACGCATTACAGCTCTTACTGCGGACTGTTTTCTAACTAAACTACAGCACTTCCATTTTCATATATTTACCATTCCTTGTTTTTTCATTGTAGACTGATGTTAACTGTGTTTGTAAAAGTTCCCAAATTACCATGATTTATACCATTTCCTGTCTGAAACTTGAAAACTTTATTGTGAAATTTGATGATCAGCATTTCTTCTGTTTTGAGCTCACCTCAAGTAAGTAGCCCCTCATGTCCAGGCGTTTCAGTGGAAACTCCACGTAGGTATCCACCTTGTTTCTCAAAAAGGCTGTCCAGTGGAACCTTTTTAGGTGCAGACACAAAACCTGATAATATAGGAAATAAAACCTCCAATTATACCGAAACACTATCTTCCCAACTACTCTGCTTTCAGAGAATAAACTTTCAAATTAAACTTAAATGAAAAAAATTCTGTCTCTACCTTTGGCAGCATCTGGATCCAGAACTTCTTAGTGGATTTCTGTCGCTTTTTACACTTATGGCAATAGTACAGCTCCGTTTCATCAAGTTCTTCCAGGTCAGTGAAGCTACGTAAGCAGTCTAAAACAAAAACAAATAAACAAATAGACAATGTACACAATTAGAAATGAATACTTCAAAAAAACTGTCTACAGGATTCACACAAGGTGCTTGAATTTTGAGGGGAAAAAATCAAGTACTGTTACACCTCTAAAAGAACCCCTTTTTCAACAAGGTGCTTAAAAAGTCCTTGAAATTCAGATTAAGCATGTAATACAGTCTTATATTTGGACCAATGTTTTGTTCAGTTAATTATTTAAATTGCTCAGAATCTGAAATCGCTCAACTTTTTCTTTATTAATTCTAACACATCACCATCTCCACAGCACGCTCTCCTCTCCTTTCTTCATAACCTTCATAATGTCATGCCAATCTCTGTAGTTTATTCTCTACTCCAGGAAAAAGAGTAGGTCTATCTTAGTGTGACAAAAAGCATGACTTAGCTTAATGACCCAGTTTTTCACAGTGATTTGTTTTTCCTCTCCCTTCAGCAGTGTGCCGTTGTGATAGGTCAGCAGAAAACTGAGAGCGTAACTATATATCCAGCTGACAACGTTTCCTTATGCATAGGACAGTTCTATTTTAAGGATGATTTTTCCATTCTCATCTTGTGTGCTCCTTTTTGTAATGAGTTGATAATACAATTAAACAGAATGTGACAAGTGAGCCTTCACTGAAAAGAGACATTGATCACATCATTTATTTAAGTTTAATAAAAATGTATCTTTGGAAACAAATAAGTTGCTTTGAGTTTAGTCCTTGAAAATGGGAGGAAGAAAAAAAAAACAGTGCTTGGAAAAAGTACTTGAAAATCCCTGAATTTCAATTTCTAATATCTGTATGAACCCGATGTCTAATGAGTCATCACCTCTGACAGTGTGAAACTTACCACGCAACGTGCAGGTGGGCCCTGGCTCCTGGTCCTTACTTCTCTTTTGTCTGAACTGGCTGGGAATGTCCAAAGACAGATCTGAGAGAAAAAGAACGGAAATAAATCCTCTGATATCACACATCATAGTGATGTAATTATATTCCCCTCAGTAACTGTGTTTGATTTTTTTCTTGTTCGCTGGAAAAAAGAGAAAAACACAGAGCCTTTCTTCAACTTGCTATATTTGGCTGTTCACTAACAAAAGTTGTTGTCTTACCAAGAAATGGATCAAACTTCCGAGATTCTGTTCCACATATCAGGCAGTTGACTTCATTCTGAAGTATGCCACCAAAATTGGATGTGACAACACTGGCAGTCCCATTTCTGTGATTAAAACAAAAACCAAACATAAAGCAGCTTTAATCACTGAATGCACTTTAAAATCTTTGGGTGTTTAATTCATGCACAGGCAAACAAATATGCAAACATGATATTCTACATGTGGACTAGTGAATGTTCACTGACTAGTAAATGCTACCTGTGCATCTAATCATTACAACTTATAAAGAATAAAAGTAAAAACTTGGCTGCTTTCAAAAAGAAAATAAGCATGAAAAATCAAACACAGTGTGCTAAAATGCTTCAGTAAAATGGGACAGTGAATAAAGAAGAATAAAAAGACACTTTGGCAGCATGTCTACAATGATAAACGTGGCCTCTTTATCAATATAAAATCAACTGGAAAACAGCACAAACACCACACAAAATAATTATAAAGGTGCGTGGGCTTACACGCAGCATTTGCCCTCTGCGGTGGAGAGTCTGACCCCATCCTGAGGTGAGACTGGGTGTGACGCCCCGTTGCGACTGCACTGGAGCTCCCTGTGGAGATGGTCCAGCAGGTAACGCATGAACTCATGTGCGTCCTGCTGCTGATAGCCCCTGGACACACACACAAAAAAGGCCTTAAATGACATTACTGTAACAACTCACAATAGTGTTTTGACTATAATATGCTACACGTAAAGCTGTAGTGGGTAACTTTCATATTTGCTTAAACTGTCACTGTATTTACACAGCATTAAATGAGACTGATAATCTGTTAAAAAAAAAATCATGCACCTCTGCCTCCTCTATTGCCTTATCACGCCTCTAATGGCCTTACAGCACATGAATGAAAACAACCAATTAGAGCCGAGAAGTCTTTAACACAGCTGTCAATCATGTCAAACACTTTGTGAACTGTGGTCAAACTGTTAAACTAGACAGCACTGATCAAATACGAATCAAGGCTCTGTTACTGCACTGCCTATTTCTCATCTAAAATGTTTTCAGAAACATATTTTAGCATACTGTTCAGCTGTAAAATGAGAAAGTTGGTCTGGCTGGGTGCTTGGTACTTTGATTGACTGTATCCAACATGGTGGCTGGGTCCCAAACCTTAATTTTACAGCTCAACAGTACAATAAAATATGTTTCTGAAAACATTTGAGGTGAGAAACGGGCACTGCAGTAACAGCACCTTGGTACATACTTGATCAGCGCTGCCTGGTTTGACAGTTTTACCACAGTTCACAAAGTGATTGAGAGCTGACTCCTCTGCTTTGATTGCTTGTTTCTTGGTGCACCACGGTTGAATCCAAAGAATGCCATTAGAGCAGTAGGGGGAGGAGGGCCATGATTTACTTCACAGATTATCTCTCTCATGCACTTCCTTCAGACTATAGCGACACTTTCAGCAAATATGACACAGTTATTTTCCTTAAAGTTACCAACTGTAGCTTTCAACAAACCAAGAGAAAAGAGAACTGTTTACTGCTCAGCTTAAGGAGCTTAATTCTGGGAACATTTTCTATGCAGTGTTTGCATACCTGAAACTTGGCATGATTTTCCATATAGCATAAAACAAGGAGTCTGGACTGAAGGCCGTCTGACTTCCTTGCCACAGGGAACAAAGGGTTTTCCTGAATTCCTCCACCAAAGACCTGTTCAACATAAAGCAGCGCTGTTATTCCACCGCACAGCCGGAGACAATCCACATCTAAAGCCTGTCTAATGCTCTGTGGACTGAAGAGAAGGTAACAGAAGACACTAAACCTTACCAAAACTCAAACTCATACCCAAACCTGTGTCAGATTGCGTTACAGTGTACAGTAGGTTTTATTTTTCTGGTTATTCATTGCACAACACTATATCTGCACTACTTAGTGTGTGTCACCTAGTCTTGCTGATATAAGATAATGACTGCTGTTAGGAGCCTCATAAGAGAAGATTTCTGAGAAGGTTGCCCTCGTGATCACTCACAAGTAACAATTTTGTCAATCTTATACTTGCTGAAAATGATTTTTGGATCAATGCACTCAGCCCATAAATCCTCCCTCCTACAGAAGAGGACCTTACACACTGTTGTCCCCTTGGCTTCGGGTGTGGTACATCCGTCTTCCTGCCGTCTTACCACTGCGTAGAGCCACTGCAGGCAGCTCCTTGAAATAACAGCTGAACTGCTCGATGTTGCTGTCAAAGAAACACGATTGGGTTAACATGTTTGACAGCCAACATTTGGAAAATTAGCAAAAAATGTAACAGGCACAGTGTTAGTGATAAGCACACTTATTACTATGGTGTTACAAAGGAACTGAATACAATGCAAAAAGTTAGTGATGTTTTTGCATTTTAACTGCAGATATATCAAGTCTATGTTTTTGAGGTTATGTTTTGGGCAGGTTTTTGCTTTTTTTGACAGTACCGCTGAAGATGGACAGGAGAGTAGGAGAGAAAGAGGAGGAATGACATGCAGCAAAGGGCCCAAAGTTGGAATCAAACCAGGCTGCTGCAAAGCACTCAGCGTATATGAGGCACACACTCTACCAGGTGAGTTACAGGTCACCCCAGTCAGGTCTATGTTACAAAATATTTCTGACCCCCTTCCAAATCAGGCCAGTATTTTGAATTTGCTGATGACTTTAAATATTTATTGACTTTACGGAGAAGGCCAAGGTTGCCATGCAAACAAAATAGAAACACACTAACTGCTGTATATCATATTACATACTAAATACAAGTAGAATTTCATAGCAAAAATCAGCTTTATAAGGCACATTTCAAGTTTCTGCAAATTCATTTCTACACCCTACTGAAAAAAATGAAAACTAATGGCTGCCTGGAAAGTAGGAAAATGGATGTTTATTTAAAATAAATCTACAGTATGCATTGGTAAATGCTCAGCAATGTACTTGAAATAAGGTAATTGTGAAAACACGGCAGTCCTTTAGAAACCCCAAAAATTGTGTAAGCTGGGAAATCTGTCCTCTGACTGTGTCTTGTTTCTAAGCAGCCCGTGTAATTCCCCTGACTGTGCCCCAGACTGTATTAATAAAGGATGACTAGTCATGGGGCCCTGGGTCTACTGGGGCAGAGCAACTGAACCATACTGCAGACCCATTTTACCACACACATCCCTCATCTTCAGTGCAGAGCCTTACCTGAGGGACTGCAGGATGGCATTCATGAAGCACGTGTTGCCTAAATTCCGCAGGCCTGTAGCACCTGAAGCCACTCCGTCCTGACAGAGATAAATATAAAATGCACAAAGATGAGTGTATGTATGACTTAGAAAAAAATCACTTTTAAGCTAACATTTAAAAGATATCTTGATAGTCAACTTAGTCAACTTTGAAGTGGGGTTGTATGAGGTACTTATTCACAGTCAATATTACACACAGTAGATGTCAGTCTACACACACCCAGTTTGGAGAAGCAGGCAGGAGTCCGACACAGACGTTATGCAATGTACTGTTCAATATGAGGGTCACAAAAAACCCCCAATGAATTTTAGCCATGTAAAAAAAAAAAAAAAATCAATATCAGATTAAGTGTACGCTATATATAAAATATTTTCAAGGCACCTTACTGACAGATAGCCCTTTCAAATGGGGAACTGAGGCCGTTGTACTGCTTTGATCAAAGTCAGACACCCTGCTGAGAAAAACAGTAATTTAACATTGTCGAAAACAAGAGCTGCTGGTCTACCGCTGCTTCGATCACTTAGTTTCTGTGTGTTATTGTGTGACTTCGGTATTTACAAGGGTTAGCTCAGCATAGCAGTACACTGCCTGGCATCCGTGTCAGTACTCCTGCCCGCTGGAGTACCGACACGGGGGCGTGCCAGCCGACATCTGCGGTATGTACCACAATAACTATGGATTAGTACCTCATACATCCCACTTCAAAAAATTCCAAACTACTCCTTATAGGCCCACTTCTGACTGTTAAAAAAATTCTGAGGATCACCTTCTGAAATAAATGAGGAAAATAAGACGGTTCAAAACAGAGGGGAAAAAATACACTGGGCTGTAAATGTGTTATGACACTGACAGCTGTTAATGTGATGACTTTCTGTTGTGCCTGAAGACCGTGCCTTTTGCTTCAGAAGTATTATTTTGGCTTCCCAACACATCCCGGGTGCTTTGTGTTTGAGTGTGTCTGGAGCTTCTGTGGTATTAGCACCTCATTTGACAGGATTTCACCACATGCAACATGCTGTGCTCTCAGCTCAGCAACACTGACTGCCATTATGAATCCACATTTATCCAGGATCACATTTCCTCACCACATTTTTTGGAGCTTTGACTGGTACCGCGTTGTCTCTCATGTCACATTTTAGTTTAAGGACCGATCCATTTTGTGTCACTGCATCTAAGGGAACGTTAGCGAGCCAACAGGGGCAAATCACTTTTGTAGTATGTAACTGATAAATGATTTTTCTTTAATTTACGTGAATTCTCGAGCACATCTAAATACAAAAATAACTAGTTTTATAAAATAAAAGATATGATAAAAATATAAATGTAATCTAACCATTTGGCAGTACGGCTGCAGCCCACCAGCACTCTGAAAATAGCTGGTGTAGAGCTCTCTAAAAGGCTCCTGTGACTAATTTCATTGGAACACTCTCCGAGAGTGTGAATAAAGACTTGTAAAATGATTTGAGCTGTAGTACAGTCTTTTGTGCTGGCACACAATCGTGGAGTGGCTTCAACTTACAGCTTCTTCTTTCAAAAGAAATCAATAAGGATATTTTCAACCCACTTACATTGTCTTTCAACAACTTGCTGTCTGGAGCTGGGCTTTCCTGAAGTTTTCTTTTCCTCTGTCTGTCACCCATCAGCGCCGAGCTGTAAGAGGGAAAAACATTTTCCTCTTGTATTGAGCATGTTCAGATGTGCAGATACATCTTAATCTTTGCATCAAACACTGTCAACTATCAAAACTACAGCTACATTTTAATTAGTCATATATACATAATTTGGTGAGTGTAATAACGACAGAGAACAAATGAGACAAAAACAATACATTTAAAGACTTACTGAGATTTGCACTTACTTTTCTAAAGTCTGCAGATGCTCCCTCACCTTCTGCACCAGCCCAGGTTTGGTGTCATTGACGACAAAGTCATCGCATCTGTAACTATAAAATCCACATTAGTCAAGACACATAAATGTTTTACAAATCAATAAACTAACTGAAGTTTGGACCCATTAAAACTCCATAACAAACAGGATATCATAAATGTACCGCATTCTGTTTCACTTTGGTAGATTGCAACATTTAACCGCAGGCGTAAATGTGGCAGAAGAGAGTTTCAGCAAACACTCCTAAATATAGTTCATACAATTTGGATCACAGTTTGCTTGTATCAACATGTGATCATTTGTATCATGTAACCAGAGGAATGTTGGATCACTTATAAAGAAACTGATTAGCTTCAATAAATCCATAATGATGGCATAAAGAAACAGTTGGTCCCTATTACAACACCATAACAATCCTTTGACTGTTTTATGACGGTGACTGTTCTTTTGCAGGGCCCACAGTGAGTCACAGATTGCCGATAAAGACAGGCTGGTCATGAAGGACACTCACCAAAAGACGCTGTAGTTGCTGCAATCCATGCAGACAGAATGATGGGATTTCTCTTTCTCCTGCTTCTCAGCCTTCTTTTGAGTAATGCCAACGACTTGGCTCTCTTCAAAGTGTTTCTTCGCGTGTCCATTGACATACCTATGCGGAAAGAGATTTCTTTATAACATACAACATCTGGACCTTCCAGAAAATAATCCTATTATAAACAGTAACAGGTGTTGGCCTTAACGTATGCTCATAAATGTTATCAAAGAATCTGCCCCTTAAAATAAATACTGCAGTTTTGATCTCATGCACAACTACAGCGCACCTTATCGACCAGAGCATCTGTTTTTCTCAAAGAAAAATCCCTGATAATCTTTGAAAAGCCCCAGAGAGTTGTTAAACACCAAATGCTAATGTTTTGACAGTATTTCAAGAATCCTAGAGGATTGTTCTTGCCATCTGGATAAAAAAACAGTCGGTCTGCTGCACAATAAAAAAGATTTTTAACCTATTTGCCAAGCTTGGACTACATTCCCTTATCCAAAATAAGACAGTAACTGGAAATGACATCTTTCCTTGCTCGATTAGATTAGATCTTTGATTGTGAAAGACTGTCAAAGAAAAAAAAGATGATTAGCTCTGTGACATGAATGAAAATGTAGTACACAAAAGAAACTGGGGCTAGTCAGACATATCCTATACAGTAACAGCTCTGGAAGGATGCTCCAGCCAAATACTTAACGTGTATTTTGTTAACCTCAGGTTTTAAGGGCCTTATTTAAAAACAGCCATTTCAGTGACCACTGTATGACTAAAAACCTTAATGTGTGTAAATCAGCCCTTACACACAAAGTCAAAATGGTCACCAAAAGCAGAAGGATTAAGGCACACCAGAGTGTTACCTGAGTTATAGTGTGGTGTGTTTGCTACTGTGAGCACAATAGGAGGACAACTTACCTTCCACAATGGACCATGAGACAGGTAAGGCAAATCCATGGACTTTTATTGGACCTGCAAACTGGAGATAAAAGATGAAGCCTTAATTTAAAAGTGCATAGTTTAATGGCACATTGTATTGCTGTGATTTTCTTTTAAATGGAATATTCCTTCATGTGTGATCTGCCCTTGTGATAGCTGTTGACTTGTAGCTACATTATCTATCTAGCTGGCACAAATGTGGCAGTATCGGCTCCAGCAAGGCTTGGATCCACCTTCAATTTATGTATGCGTTACCGTCGATTTTAGCAACGTTAAATAAACGGGTGACAAACACTTCTCTTACCGTTGCAGCACCAGGAGGACGGGGTACCGTTGGGGAACCTGGAGGTATCGGCAGGAGAGCTCACGCTTGAGTTCAGATGAGGGCACTCCATCAGCTCACAATTGTGAGTAAGTCAGCTAATTTTAGCCAACACCACAACACCAACTGTACCAGGAACACGGCAGATAACAATAGTTAGCCAATTAACCTGTACTAGCTAGCTAACGTTAGCTGACCAACTACTTCTGCTCGCGAGCGCACGTTTTCCTGTCTTCGCTCGCGTTAACACGGTTGGTAGCTAACGTACTACACTTCTTGCATATTTTCAGGGAACGGCGGCTTACAGAAAATAACGGTCATGTCGTTTCCACCCGGACATACTGTAAGTTAAAATAGTAACGTTTTCTTGGGTGTTTAACGTACTGGATAACTGCTGGCGTTTGCCACAAACAAATGGAAATAACTTGAGGAAGTGACGTGCTGTCTGCCGGCTCGGCTGTTTGCCAACTATACAACAAAGATGAAAAAGCTTCTGGGATAACGTCTGACTACTTCCGCCTTCGCTTACACTCCCCAGGCCGCTTATCGATAATGCAGGGGCCTCATATTTAGGTTTGTAGCCTTTAACGTCGTATTGATACTTACTGATACTGGAAAGCTCTAATATTACACAAAACTACGCCATATTGTGAGACTTAACTTGTTTTGAAGTGTCGCGCATGCGTCATAGCGAGCCACTGCCACGCTTCCTATGCCGATAAAAGCGAACTGTGAGTTTAAAGCGAGTCTTAATTTAACCCATGCATATCCTCTCCTCAGAAATTCATCATAACCGATCATAACAAGTGTCTATACCAAATATGGAACCACAGATCTATGTACAATGTATAAAAAAGCCCATCTTGCAATAATAAATGTGAGATTAATTCTTAATTCATGTTTCAGAGAGCAGGGAAACTATTTTTTAGGTTTTACACCACTGGTTTATGGAGATAAAGCATCTACTATCACACAATATCGCGCCCTGCTTTACCTAGATCAAAGCATAAACACCGTTATGATGTAAATATAAATATTAAAACTGAAAATGGCAAGTACATTCTGTAACTGTGGGGTTTATTAGCCTATATGACCATAAAACACTGCCTTCACTGCTGTGTATCTTAAAAAAATCCTTAACTATTATCTAATTCCAGCCATGTATTGTAAGGCTTGAGTCTACATTGGAGAAAAGGGACACAACTAAATGTTTATGCAAAGCCCATGTCGGTGGTGTAATCATGGTAACTTTCCTCCTAATTTCAGAAGGGGATAATGAACCAAATGTCAAAAGTGGTATCATCATAATTTATTCAACATTATGTAACAAAAAAGCTTAATGAATTGCAAACTAGGCAATCACAACAATTCAAGGAGACACAGCCCAACAGATTTTATTCTTTTTATAAAGTTCAATTAGTAAAAACACCTTTTAATACACCGCTGAAATTGAATGGTATAAAGTAGCAGTATATCTGATGATTGAAGCAGAGAGAAAGTTTAAGCAAGCTTTGAAGAGATGGTATGCAAATAGTCTATTATAATAGGGACCTTGCAAAAACTAATACAGTGTTGTGCGTTTATGTTTATTTAACAGCTGTATGTAATTATATGATTTTTTATTTGCACCTGTCAGTCTTACCAGACCTGGCATCTTGCCCCGCCAGAGGATCATAATAGAAATAAGCCTGCTGCTTTCTTTTGTAATTCAACTCCTTGACAGTTATAGATTTATGTGATAAGTGTCGTCAGGTGAAGCAGTTGTATGTATATGTTATGACTGTCACATAAATCTATCTATCTTGCTCTAATCTATTTTACACATAACAGTGCAATACTCTGTTCCATATATGAGCCATATTTGATCATGCCTGTGCTGTTTTACTCTTTCACTATTATGAGATTTCCCCACGACACTTCAAAGACTGACAGGTGCCTGTCTCAGTGGGAACCTGGGCAAATATGGAGGGAACTCAGGTAGTTCTCATGACAGTGTTAAGGTCTCACTTGAACTCTGTCAGCACTGTTTCATGAAAAATATTTGCAGATCTGGCATGTACAGTGTCAAGATTCCAAAAACAAGATGATCTCTAGCTCACCTGGTAGAGCTTGCAACCCATGTAGGCTGAGTCTTTGCAGCGGCGTGGGTTTGATTCCAACCTATAGCCCTTTGTTTTATGCTATCCCGCTTCTCTCTGCCCCATTTCCTCTCATTTTCAGGCAGTCCTACAATATAGGCAAAACCCCCAAAAATAATCATGAAAAAAAGATTCCCCAAAACCACATTTCACTCTGATGGATAAAACAGCCTCAATGTACAAAATGTGTAGCGTCAGTACAAAAAGTATAAAAACACAAGTATAAAATTAAAAAATATTTTTATTTTTGTGCATTTTGTGTCACTTTAGGAAAAAAACATTGAATCACAAGCTAAAAGAATGGCATTAAGGGTGTTTTTGCTGTTGTCAAATATCAAAATGGGTCAAATTTAACCTGAACAGTTTGTAAAGGTCAACTGTTAAAACTGTGAAATTGTTTAAACATAAGTACACATTATAATTATATGAATGTGAAGTGCCTGAGCATGCTCTCTGGAATAGTGGAATCATTACCAGATGAGATAGTAACACCATTCCACCTGCAAAAGGCCAGGATTATCTTAAAGTATTTTAATTTGATTGATGTGATTGGTTGCACAATAAGGAAGTTGCTTCTTTAATCTCCAGACTCGCTTGTTCTTTTTGCATCATGACTGCAGGCTACCAGACAACTGACATTAATAATTATTCACGTACAGGTTGCATTTTTTTGTATGTACGGGCTTAAACATTGATAAGGGAGTCTGAGAGCAATATGACTAATTTAAAAAGCGATCTATTCTATTTACCTTTATTTTCCTCACATGTGATGACTGCTCGAATGATTGAGTGGACATGAACAGATGCCACCCTTACACTTGGATATGATTATTTAATATGTAGGCCTATAGATCTGTATCAGATATTCATAAATGGGATCTCAGCCTCAAGAGTAAGAAATTGAGCCTTTTTATTTACTGAAAGATGAACCCGTTACACAGTACCTCATCAAATTAATGATAATAATCAGATACTTTATGAACATGTACACCATCCTCTGAAAACTGGAACTCCATCAGAACATTTCCCATAAAACAGACTAAGAAGAGATTGTTCCGCAAAACTGCTTTTATATCTGAAACGCAAAGCATTTGATATTACAGCTGCACATTTTAAGAATGAACATGAAAAAAAAAATGTGAAAGGTTGTTTTTGACATTTTTATGTTGAGATGTTTACAGCCTAAAACAAAAGATTCACAAGTGCTGAGCAGGAAAACATAATAACAGAGGATGTGCTGCGGGCATCACTTCACAAAAACAGCTCTAAATATATGTGTGGGGTTTAGACTTGGCACGTGCCTTCAGAGGACTTCAGACAGTTTTCAGCAAATCTTTGAGCCAGGTGATGCAGTACTGTTTTGGAAACACTGAGAGGGTTACGAGACCACATCGTTAAAATCATTTCACGTAATTGTGCACGAGCAGATGAGTACCTGAAGTTTGAATGATGCAGTGGTGCTCCTGTTCATACTTGAATGTTTGTCATAAAAAAAAAAGACTGACTTCCTTTAAATGGAAAATTTTCCAGAAAATTTGATGATGGCTGTTTTTTTTGTTTGTATTTCAAGCAGCAATCAACAATGAATTTCATTAATAACTGATGTGCCAAAAGTCTGTGAGAAATATCTTTTGCTATTTCCTGGATTCCAATTGTTTTGCCCACACTCCAAAACCCACATATATTCAGTTTAGTATCACATAAGGCAAAGAACAGCTAACAGACTAATCAATTAATTGACTAATCGTTTCAGCTCTGGTATTTTTTTTATTACATTTAAACAAATCAACCTCATTTGGGATTGCTGAATGAAAGTACAGCATAAAGGAAGCTCCCAGGGGAAAAAACAAGTTAAGAAACATCACTTTGCACATGTTCTAAGAGAAACAAAACATAGAATTTAAAAAAATGCAATGGCTATTACATATGTCAGTACAAAAAAACTAAACTGAATTTAAATGTCGTAATCAGTTGATATGTTTAGGAGAGTTATAATACAAAACCAAGCTGATAAAACTCCACATGTTGCTATTGAGGTGACATGGTTCTCTACGCCATTTCAATCCCTCTCTCCTGAAGAGGTGAGCCAGTCTGGGGGTCTTTACTCTTCCCTGATCCCTTCTTCTTGGGGTCCTTTTTCCTAAACAAGTACAATAATTAGAGGACAGTTGTTATTAACTGTAAAAAAATGCCATTGCTTTCTAGTTGTAGTCTGTCATCATTTTTTATGTAAAACCACAGACGAGGAAAAATAGTCCTACTTTGACTGAACAGTCAGGACGATCACAGTTATCACGATGGCAGCAATAATGACAGCAAGCAGCACTCCGCAGATGATGGCTGTTAAAGAAGACAACAGGGTAACAGATGAGCAGGGTTCATGTTAATAGATTAAATACAAACAAAAGTATGCACAGAACTAAAACAGGGATCTGTGTGTGTCTACTGACCAATAGGAGTGTCCGGCTCATCCTCCTCTTCTTCGTCACGATCATCTTAGAGCCAAAACAATAAAAACATATCAATGTGTCATATAGTTTAAAAGCATGCTTTGACATATTGGTGTATAAACACGTATAGTTATCAGCCAATAATAGAGTAGTGCTCACCGTGGATGCCTTCACAGGTGGCGTTGCAGGTGCCCTGGTCAAAAAATCTGTTTCCGTTTCCGATGCATCCAGACCAGAGGAACTTTTTGCATTTGTCATGAACAGAATCGTAGTAGTATCTCAAATACTGACCACTGCATTCACCTACGGCCTTTTTAAAGTGGCAAGCCTTGGACGCTGCGAAGAGAAAACATCAATCTCATTAGAAGTAGCAGTGGTTACAGTTTATTAATAATACTAATACTTCAAAAAACACTGTGATTGATTATGTCTGATCTGCACCAGCTACTAATTCAGCAAAGTACTAGATGATTAAAACTTTATCAAACAGTTTATAAATGCCTCAGGTGCATTCATTCACACTTTCAGTTGTCATGAGCAGTCCTGCTCTTTCGCCACATGGTGGCACATTGCTAACACTCATGCTGACACGTGTCTGTGCTGCAGCCTCTGCAGAAATAAAGTAATAAGGTGGAAAAAGTGAAACTCAATGTTACTTGGGTCAATTGAATTGACACACAAAATAGCACTGGCATAGATAAGTAGATTTTGCGGTCATATAATGAACGTGCTCCTCTTCAGACATAATTACAATCTGGTTCTTTCTCTCTGTCTCTCAGCTGCGATTGCGGAGACTTGACGATGATGTAGTGTTTCCTTTCATGGTCCTTTAGGCCATAAAACTCTACCTCATTAGCCAGTTCATGTTCCAAAGTCCTCAGACAACAGCCAGAGAGAGGAATATTTTTTTTTTTTAATAAACTGGCTTCATCTGCTTTTAGGTGGTCTTTGAAGATACATTAGACACTTTGCATGTTTAAAACAGAGTTAGAGGTGAATCAGGTGAATTGTTACATCAATATACCTTCATTATTTGTGTTTAAAACCATCTTACCGTCCATGGGGTAGATTTGATCTACATTGAGGGAACAGTTTCTTATGCACTCTCTCTCATTTTGAAAACGGTTGGCGTTTCCTCCTTGGCCTTTGTATAGGAAAGGATTGCACTGGTCTTTGATGGGATCATAGTACAAGGCAAAGGTGAAGCTGGAGCCTTCACCTTCATTATGCGGCAGCGAGCAGAATTCTGTTGGATGATGAAAAATAAAAATACTGTTAGATGCATTTTATTTGCAAAAGACAATGTGCTGGTTTTCAGTACAGTATTGTGGCTGGAATGGCTACAAAGTAAGCTGGTATGACAAGCATTGCCATAGGTGTTTCAGTGGAAATCATCTACACATAGATAATGTTTAACTAACCTCATCACCAGATACCCACTCCCTCTTTTTATGACAGCAATAAAAAGTGTCATTTCAGTCCTCCCGCCCATCATAGATTTCACAGAAGGGAAGTAGTTTCAAATTCTTCCTTCCAGATCTGACTTTTTAACCCAAAATACACTTTGTTTTTGGAAAGAAAGTAACCGTAACAAACTGGCTATCCTCGGACGCTTAAAATGTGTGCCTCTCCCATCACACGCACAGCTGTGAGGTGAGATGGAGCTGCATAGGTTCACCTCGCTGTGCTCAGGCTCAGACAGAAATGATCTCACTGTTTCAAAGTTTAGAATTACACAGGAAGGAATCGTCCAGACAGCTTAGCACAATCGTTAGCGGTGTGTAAATAACATTTCCAGGAGAGTAAACGTATAGTAAATACTATACTTTCTTTTTTGGGTCACGGTTAAAGACAATCATTGTTGGCTTCAGTTGCACGTCACAACATGAACATGAAGTCAGAAAGGAAGGTAAATACAATTATATTCTGCTGAGAGACGCAGTCTAGACTTACATAATGTACTGAAACAGCTTTTTTTTCCATCAAGCTTATTGATTTCTGATTGAAATTAATAATTTTGCAGGCATCACTCTTATACAGTTTATTTAGTCATCTGCCAGTGTTACCGCCATGTTGCTATGGAAGGACTGAAGGTGAAACTTTGTCTCCAAGAAAATACTGACAATCATATATAAGATATGTAAAACACAGTATTCTTGCCGTTTATAAAGGCAGCAATACACAAGACTAACACTTTTACCAAAGCTGAGCCTGTGTGCTAATAGCCTGGCCTATTCTGAAAAACGTCTGGTCTGTAAACGGTTCTTATAGTCACGGTTTTTAATTAGGAAGAAAACAGATTGCTGTACCTGGACGATCCGAATGGCTGATGTGGAATGCAGCAAAAGCAAACCCCAAAAACAAAAGGCACTTCATCTTGCGGCTCGTCTTTGTGCTGTCTTTCCTGAAGTGACTGAAGGTTGTAAACTACAGTGGGAGTGGGGTTGTCATCACTGACCTTTGGACAGCTGCAATTGAAAGTTAACGGCAGGGATCGACATCTTCCTCTTTTTTATTACCTGTGTTATTCAACAGGTAAGAGGGTTTTTATATTAGGGTGTAACCAGGTATAACCACCTCTGTATAGCCTATAGATGCAGTAGTGTGTGATAATGTTTTTGTAGTTGGGTGCAGGGGCGTTAATTTAGACATTGCAGACAGTGTGGTTGCACTGGGACCCATGAGGTGGAGGGGCCACTGAGAGAGTGGGTCCTCCAATGATGTGTTGGGTGGAGAATAGGCCCTTATGAGTGATTGCCACAGCGGAAAGCTCTCTTTAGATCTCTTTTAATCAAAAACAGTGCCATTTGCTATATATGCCGTTGAAAGATGCCCTATTCTTTTTCTGTAAAGTAGGCAATATCATCTTTAATAACATTATGCCCATTTCAAATAAACTACAATAAACTATTAAAATTGTTAAATTAAATTGATAACTTTCTTTCATTTGTATGTTTTGTGAAATAATATGTTAATGTTATCCAATGTCATGTCTCTACCGTACGCCACTGGTTGGGTGTTATATTTGAAACACTTCACACCTCATTCAAGGAACATTCAATCTCAGTTACACATGATACCTGCTACAACAGCGGCAGCATGCACACATTAGCATAGATAAGTATATTGACTAACTAACACCATAGAAGGGTCATTATTGTCATCTGACGGAGCACGTCTAGACCCGATGCTTCAAAACTGAGATTACCTGTTGCAATTTAAATGATTGCAAATGCAACCTCACCTTTTGCAACCTCACCTTGATTAGAGAGCATTTTTAGTAAGTTTAAATCCTCCTGTCTTGAAGTTACCTCAGGGAGTTGTTCTATCCTCTTATTTTGTCATTTTGGCTTAAATACTCACAGCAGCTTTCCATTCTCACATCATCAGGCTTTCATCTTCAGTGTGTCATAATCCTCATCATGAGCCAATAATATAGAAATATAGAATATAGAATATTGATAATATAGAAAGGTAACACACAACAAAGGTTTGTAAGTGAGGTGCTGATCACTGAGAGCAGAAAACAAGTATTGCACAATAGTCAATAATCAAGACTGGAGGCTGTGATGTCAAATAAAAGAGAAAAGAGAAATGCAGATGGATCCAGAGTGTGCGACACTTGTTTTCTACTTTTAAATTGCATAGTAGACCACTGGCCTCAAAACTATAGTTGTGATATCACAACATCATGCTTATATTAATTCAGATTTAATGTGAGCACAGATAAATCTTTTCCTCTTAGCTGATAGAGTTGAAAACAGGTGTTCAGCAGGTTCCTGTTATACAACTGAAACACATTACAATACAAAATAAATACAGAAACAATCAGTAGGCAAAACAACAAAACGGCAGCTACACAGACAATGCAGAGTAGCAGACTGAAGTGGAGTTAGTCAAATGGGATATGGGATTTAAATCAATGGTTGCAGGTATGTCCTTCCATCAGACAGTGTTTATATGCGTGTTTGAAATGTGCAAGTTATTATTGCTCTAATGTAGTATGGGATATCATTCCAGATCTTAGTGTAAGTGTGACAAAATGATCTCTGACCATAACTGTTTTTGTAAGGTGGTACAGGAACAAGTGCATGAGAAATTGATCTAGTGGCATGTTGCTGTCTTGTGCTGTGAAACAGAAAACAGAATTTAATGGCTTGATTATTTGTGTAGTTTTGAAAATTGAGAGTGCGGTGCAGTGATGAGTCCAAAGGGCGAAGTTATTGTGGATCTTGTAAGCTCTGCTGTATAGTCTTGCTATGGGTTCAGTGGTTTCCTCTGTGGTGAGGGACCATGAGGGGAGACAGTAGGGTGCTGCCCAGAGAGTGATTACATGTGGGTATATGTCTGAAACAGCAGGGGTGAGATATGGTCTGATCTGAATTTGTAACTGTAAAGGTATCATAAGTCTACACAGTTAAATTAGTTATGTATGGGGAATAACTACACTGTTGTGGCATGCATTCATTTTTTAATATAGAGAGCTGTTTTGCCTCATAATTGTAACTTTGACCTGTAACCCTGTGTTGCCTAGACAGTGGACATTATACCAATTAAACGCATTTTAAGGTGAAGCAAAGGGGAAACCCGGATTTTCCCAACATGCATTTTCAAGTGTTTTTGAGTGGATGAATTTTGATTGCAGTTTTATGAACGTGACGTTGCATCTGACAGTAATTTTGGTAGGATTACAGATGTTGACAGGTGGGCAGAAGTGTGAAGGTGGCACCCCACCTGTCAACATCTGGCAGACCCATTTGTAGCTCACTTTTATTTTGCTTTCTTACCTCCATTGTCACAAAGTCCAAAGAGTCGCGCATGTCCACGCACCGGCACACGTGCATGCCTCTCACTCTGCATCTTTGCTCCGCGGGCAGCTCGAGCCCCTAAATGAGTGATTTCGCTTGGATGCGGTCGCCGCCGTCGAGCTGTCACTCTCCGGTGACCCGATGACTCTGGAGGCTGGTTTTGTTGTTGCTCTGACGTCAGCGCGAGCTACAATGGAGCTGGCAACATGGGTATAAAAGCCGGTTTGAAGGCTGGCGCTCTGGTGCTCCAAAGCTCCTGCTCTGTACCGGGTTAACGTCAGGCTACACACTATAGAAGGGAGGGCAGAGGGGATCAAGATGTACTTTCTCAGCTTGACACCCATCGTTTTACTACAGCTGACTTTCCTCGCTGTGCTACATGGTAAGAGCTTTATAAAGTGCAAAAAGTATGGGATGCACATACTTTGGATGCACTTATAGGTTTGTGTTAAGAAGAAAAAAGAGCATATTTGAGCCAGGTAGCACTTTGAAGGGTTTTGAGTAGAGAAGATGCTCCAGGCAGGTGTCTCCATCCACGTGCACGTGCTCTTTTGTGGGTGGAAACTTGTCTCTGAGATGAATACTGTTCCAAATAATTATTTTCTATTTGTTTTTGTTTTATTTTATTTATAAAATGACTATAATGCTGCATCCTTTAAGTTCTATTCAGTTTTATTTTAATGTGCACATCCAAATTATTTTTCTCTGTTCGTTTCAGGTGCCAAATGGACATACAGTGGTAAGTCTGATAATGTTTTCCTTACAATCTGTCTGTGGTAGATCATAAAAGAAATATGTTTATATTTTTTTTACATCACCAATTTTCACTTTTGCTGCATTGCAGTCCCATTCCATGTGCACATGTATGTCTTGATCACTCACGGTAGTATTCCACCTTTAAACCAGCATAAACTAATTGAGTATTAGAATTAAATTTGATGCAGCTCTGAGTCAGAGAAGGTGTTATGGTTGTTTTGTCCCCACTGTGAGCTGTCAATGCCACAAGACACAAGTTATAACAGTATGGATGCTTTGTGATCAAGAGGGGAAAAACTGTGACCCTTCGTTGACCTCCAAAGGCAACCAGCACTGACATCCCTCCTGTCACCTCATGTAACTGTAGGGGTCATTACAATCTCTGCAATTACAACATTTCACAAGTGGCTGACTGCCTTTGTCTCATGCCGTAAGGTCTTTGGGCAGTCATGACTGTGTCTTACATAAACTGTGCCCAGAGCTTGACCTCTTGTCATTGTGTCACTGCTACTGGAAAGTTTGTCGCATTCAAGGACTAAATGTTAAAACCAAGAAGTAGGCAGTTGAAACACTTCTGTGCTTATTCTATGGGAAAAAATTAAACACGAATACCTTTATAGTATACAGATTCTTTTAAATGCACATCAGGGATGAATAAGAGAAGAGCTACTTCTCTGCACAGTGGTTTATGGTCGAATAATTATAGTAAGAGAAAATTATACTTGTTTTATTCAGACCTCCGAGAGAGGCTGATCCACTCCTTTTGATTACAGCATTGACTTGGCATTAATGGGAGCAAATGGCCCTTTGTGGATTCCACTCACACAGCTGTTCGTCTCCTATTTGTGGACACTTGAAAAAAAACATCTAAACAAACATGCAAAATTAGATTAGGAAAATTATATGTCAAAAATATGTGTCAGCACGGGGGATCATGTTAACAGTGTGTCAAACTAAGTGATGATTCACCCTGCGTTGCACTTGGCCACAGTCATACACGTGGATGTAAACACTTGGATCTTTAAAAAAATGCATACAGTGCAGTTTGCTTCATAAAATGCAATAATCAAACTATCGGAAATCTCTGTTATTTTAGACACAACAAATTAAATAAGAGTCAAAGTTGAAAGCCTTGTGATGACGACTGAAGAAAGATGTAATGTGTTTAAAAGGAAAAAACTCTCTGGCCTCCTTTGAAGTGCAGCGTGGTGGATTTCATCCTCAGTTACAGTCAAACCCTCAAGAGTCAAGAGGCCTTGTCATAGTCATAGTAGTCAGTCGTCTGCAGGGCTGGTAGCACTTTCTGTTGACGAGGGCACAGCTGAGTCATGCCATTTATCTCCACCTCAACACTCCACCCTCTAGCACAGGACAAAACAGTGAACCTTAACACAGGAGTAAGATAGAGTAAGATGATGTTGATGATGACTGCAGTTTTCTCACCCCACTCTGCTACCGTTTTGTTTCTTACTGACCACTGATGTCACGCTGGACCATCTACTTATATAAATCTTCAACACACACATTTAAAACACAAGAAAAGTCCCAAATTTTCTTGAAAAATGACCCACAGTCATGTGTGTTCTACCAAGAACTGCCACGGGGCCACCAAAGGCCACCGAAGGCCATTATTAAAGGGCAGACTGGGTCTAATTAAAACAGCAAATGAAGTGGACACTGAGTAATTATAGCCATAGGAGTAACTTTCTTCCTTATTATAGGGAGGGTTTGCCTAAATTGAACTTTGTTTCCAACCAGTGTTCAGTGATTTCACAGCTTCACTTGATGCCTTTTGGCATGTCTTTTACAATCAATCCACATTTGTCTGGGAAATGACAGTCAGGTTGGGGGCAGGCTTCATGTGGCATCATTCATATTTAACCACGGTCAGCTGGCATATTGTGAATGGTGGATTTTTTGATGAATGCTGGAGAGAAAATGAATCAGTGACAAATATGCAGAAGTGATGAGAGCTCTGGTACATTCAAGGCTCCTCTATTCTGCTACAATCATGTTATTTCAGATTTGATAGGGTCTATTCATAGCAAACTATGAGCCTCACTTCAAAATGAGGACAATGTCTGAAAAGCTCAGCATCGTTCTTTACACAATCAATACACTGACTGAAATATCAGAAATCAAGAGCTTCCTGATTTTACTGTCCCCTGCATCATTTCTCCAACATTTGTCTTTGTCTCTGGTAGTCTCTTCAAGGCCAGTTTGCCTCTGCAGACATGCCATGGAGAGACACCCTCATTCGGCTGAGGTCACTTTGTACGCTGCATGACTTTATCTGCAAATGTGGCCGTTTTCGGTGTCCTATGCTTTATAGAAACCTCTCATTTGGAGAGAGACAGCGTTCTCACTGGCTTTTCCCGCAAACAACAGCCTGGTTCTCACTCCCGCTGATTTAGAGAGGGCCAAGAGCAAAGCCAAGGGCCTCTCCCATGCCGCGTTGTGCACAGATAATAATACTTCACTTTGATTACAGATAAAATGTTCAGTGGGCCTAAGACGAGCCCTAGCCCTTTTTGGAGCCATCCTCTGTCCAGCTTCACCCTGTGGCATGCTTTGCCCATTTGCCCTTTGAAATGGAGCAGTTTAACATTTGAACAGGCATGCAATGGATCCCTCCTACTGTTCTGAAGTGAAATATACTTTTTGGATTAAGGATTTGCATATATGTAGCACCAATGTGCAGCATAATAAAGCAGAGAAAATAGATTGGGGTTACATTAGGGTGCAGACATCTTCAAAAGGTGTTTTACTGATAATAATTAACACTGATGCAATTTTTGCTGGTTACTTATTTATTATATCATGCTTTATGATTTTAACTGATGCTTCATGTTTTCCATAATCCCCTTTCCTGCTGTGGGACCATAAAGGATAATCTTATTTTATCTTATTTTGCAGGGCCAGAGGGAGAGCACCACTGGCCCAAGAATTATCCATATTGTGGTGGTACTTTCCAGTCTCCAATTGACATTAAGTCAGACCTACTGAGATTTGACCCAAGCTTACGTCCAATTGAGATTCATAACTACAACCTGTCGCCCCATGAGCAGCTTACACTTGGAAATAATGGGCATTCAGGTGAGTACAAAAAATCAGTGTTTTCACCTGAGCAAATATTTAAGTGCATGCTGTGTTTTGTTGGTCATGGTATCGAGACATTCTTCAAATGAAAATGTATTGCCAATGTATTCATTGGAAATGGTCCCACATAAATATGTAGAAGTCTGTTCTCACTGTAGGGACCTAATTTCTAGGTCAACCTACAGAAAATGACAGGAGGATCATCTCTCTACATGTGCCACAGCAATTTTCCATAATCACTCTCTTATTATCTTTGCTGCACTTTCAGCCAAAGAAAGAGCTCCATGTGTTGTCTGGGAAAATATGAGCAGAGATTAGTCATCTGTTCTGCCTCCGCTGGGTCTGATGCATCTTGACAAAAGACACCAGCTTTGGTTTGATGTCCGTTATCTATACACGACAAGGTCTTACATTTATTTGCTAAATATAGCAATCAGAACAGAGACACAGAGACAAGCATGCCTGTATGACACAGAAAAAAAATATTTTGATGACTCAGGCAGATGAATATGATTATTCCACCAAATTATAGATGTTGAATGGTTTTGTGTTTGAAGATAAGAGGCTGTTTCAGTCAGAAGAAAGTGAGGTTGTGTAAGCAGTATGTTGCAGAGCTGGTGTCATTTGTCTCTTACACGTCACTTTAAGCATGATGCAGATATGCTGTGTATGAGAAGTTTCAGTGGCTAACCATATAGCCGAACATGCATGTAATGTCTGCCCTGTGCTGGTGCTGTCATGTGAGTGTAGGTAAACTGTTGATGTGCAACGACCACCAGACAAATGCTTATGTGTGCATGCCTGATGGCCCTCAACGCCACAAGCCGAGTGGCATCATCAGTGTGACATGCGTCTGGAATAAGCTGACCGAGATTTTTCTCTTGTAAACATTCGTCACACACTGACGAACATGTGGAAAGCGCCCTGCGTCACCCCACCATAAAGTAAATGTAGCTACACAGCTATACAGAGTGGGCCACGTGTCGCTGACTTCCTTGGTTTAGATCAAGTTGATGTTTCTTGATCCATTGATGTTGACTGAAGTAACTCCTATGCTCCTTTCTTATGTATGGTGTGGCGTCACGTCTCCTGATCCACAGTGCAAATATCACTGCCCTCTAAGATGTACATCTCCAGCCTGCCTCATCGCTACACTGCGGCACAACTCCATTTCCACTGGGGCTCTTCCAACAGACCTGCAGGCTCTGAGCACACAGTTAACAGTAAACAGTTCGCAGCAGAGGTAAACAAAGCAAACTGCATGTCTGACTACCCACTACTGATGTCATCAGCCAGTTATAGTTAATAGTTACTTCGTAGGTTATGATTTCATACAACATGATGCATTGTTATTGAATACATCACCCAGTAATAAAAGTAATAATATCCCTAAATGGCATGATATATATAACTCTGAATGCTGCCAGTTTACGTGAATATTTTTTACTTTGTATACTTTAAATTAATTTTGCTAATAATATGGTAAATGGACTGCACTTGTATAGCACTTTTCTTCTGACCACTCAAAGCACTTTTACACTAAATCACACTCACCCCTTCACACACAGTCACACACTTGTGGCTGAGGCTACCATACAAGGTGCCACCTGCTACTCAGTAACCATTCATTCACACTCACACACTGATGGAACAGCCATCAGGAGCAATTTGGGATTCAGGATCTTGCCCAAGGATACTGGCGATCTTCCAATTGGTGGACAACCCGCTCATCTGAGCTGCAGTTGCCCCTAGTTCTTGACTTACTGTACTTTTAGTGAAGTAAAATTTTGAATGCAGGACTTTTGATTTAACTTTCATATTTTATACTGCACTCAGATTAATTATTTGGTCTGTTCTGTAAGGTTTATGTATTTCAGTTACATATAAACGTGTCCATTCAATCAAGTCAAGTAATTCTAACATTAGGAAAAGGAAAAAAAACAAACACTTTTTATGTAATTAAACCAAATAAAGGGATGAGATGAACAGACTATTAGAATAAATGTAACAACAGCACTAAAGCACAGCAATTTACTTTAATAAAGTTTTTGTAAATACTGTTAATAAATTATATATATTTGAAATATGTTGATGGTCATGAATTGACCATATTTACATGAACTTTGTTTAAGTAAATGAGCTATAGAAACATACATTATCATAGTCTGTTCATCTCAGTTTAATTTAATTTAATTTAATTACATAAATGGTGCTTTTTTTGTTCCTGTTTGAAATACCTCACTCAGTTAAATGGAATTTTTTTATGTAATTGAAATACATAAACCTGACAATAGACCAAATAATATCTTTGCGTGTGTTGTGTTGCTACTTTTGCTTCAGATATTGTGACAGAGGGTGAATATGTGGTTAGTAAATAGTGATTAAACATCTCTCACGTATCTGCAGTGCCAGCTGACAGCATCTCCAGCCCCAGACAAATGATTTAATACTTGATGACTTAACATGTGACACTTGACTGGCAGAGGAATCGGAGACACTGACTCCCTTGGAGGCTTACGGACGCTGCTCAAGCTCAAAAGCTCTGCATCTGCATATTACTGTTCCAGTTTCTTGACGCTGTGGCAGACACTCACTTGACATCCACTTAGCAGTCAGACAGTTTCCAGAAAGCGCTTATTGTGCATCTTCCACTTTGTTGTGTGATTGACTGTAAAGTGCAATTGAATGCTTGTATAAAACACAGTCTAATTAAAGAGACTGGGATGTTTTAATAGTAGACAAGTTACTAGTCTTTAAAATCTGGATTACTGAGATTAAAGAGGACAGTTAAGGTCACGGTTTGTATTTTCAAAATAAATCATACCTATAAAATTGGTATATTTTATCACTTAGTTACACCCACTAAAAGGCAAAGACATCATTCCAGTCAGCCTCGGGATGTACAGTGTGACAGCATGTCTTATTTCTGCAGGGTTTAAGGAGATTAGAGTACCAGGCTATTATATGCTTCGGTTTTCAACCACCCCTGGAAAGGAGTGGCTGTCTGTGCTATTTAATGTGTTAAGCCCAGTAAGCAGTTTTCACACACTAGTTTGCTCCATTTACTTTGATAGGCTAGTTGAAGTACAGCAGACAGTGGAGTTTAAAAGCAAGAGTGTTTTTTATGATACAGTATAAACAAAAATAGGAGACTTTTTTTATATAATTCGGTATCATTTGAGTTACAGTGGCTAGAGGCTTAAATGGTTACAACCTGTGTGCTTTCATGTGACCATGCCCCGGCTGCAGCGCAGCCACATGTGAGGTGTTGTGGTTTGACCTGGAGTTCTGAGTGGACACGTCGAAGAGCATGCATCTTTTAAAGTCTCTCCAGACTGCAGAACCACAGTTCCTTGATGACATGTTGTTTTGGAGGGATGGAATGATGGGAAATTGAACATTTCCCAGAAATAGTGCAAATGTCCACCTTAATGTTTAAAACAGAACAAAGTTCGTGAATACAATTTCGTCATATTCTGCCAGAATGACTAACATGCCTTTGTGTTGAACCCAATATAAACATACCACATATGGTCACCAAAACAACTGACAGTCTGGTATTTATGTATGTGCTGTAAGGATGACTTACTGCGATACATCTGCAGTGTTTCTCATGTGCTTTTGTCATAAACTTCCTGCTGATATTACATCCCCTGAACACCACACGGTATTCCCAATCCAATCAACATCTACCCTTACATGGAGCAGGTGTTATGATTACTGGCATTTGTTGGCTTCAGATTTGTTTTTCATTAATTAATTAATTTTCTGTGACCTGTTAGGAGTCACAGGGGGGCTGGAGCCTATCCCAGCTGACACTGGGCGAGAGGCGAGGTACATCCTGGACAGGTCACCAGACTATCACAGGGCTGACACATAGAGACAGACAACCATTCACAATCACATTCACACCTACGGACAATCTAGAGTCACCGACCCGCATGTCTTTAGACTGTGGGAGGAAGCTGGAGCACCCAGAGAAAACCCACGCTGACACAGGGAGAACATACAAACTGCACACAGAAGGGCTCCCCCTCCCTGGGTTCAAACCAGGAATCCTCATGCAACATTAAAAGCAGCTGCACAAGCAGGACTATCTATCACAAAATAATGTCTGACTAATTTTCTCCCCTCTTAAACCTTTATTTGCAAGAGATTTACAAAATTAAATAATCACAGTAGCAAAAACAGTTTGGAACATGCATTCATATGTTGTATTTATTTTTTATTCATGCAGTCCTGTTGATAGATTCATTTGTAGCTTTGTACTAAAGTCGCAACGTCTTGTAAAATGTCCATTTTCCCATCTTCTTTCCAAGTGTGCTTCTTGTTGTTTCACCATATGTGTCAGTTTTTCCATTAAGGAGATTTCTTCAACGATTACGAGTCATGTCGGGGACACTATTTAATCCATTTCCTACATTCCCTTTAACTTATAAATAGTGGTTTAAACAAGTATCTGTTGCTTCCCTTTATACTCTCTTCAGAGAAATTGGAGAGATAAAGTACCACACACCTCAAAGGGAGCTTGTATCTTATTATCTGTTGAAGCACTTTACATCCAATTTTCCAAAACATTTTCAAAAAAATATGAGTGATCCACACTTTCTATCACTTACTTTTCATCTTCATCTTTTCATCTCAGCAAATCAGGTTTTTCAACCCATCACCTCAAGATTTTGATAATTTCATACTATTTTTGTATTTTTTGTTTCTTCCGCAGGGTCTTGACTTTTTTCTCTCTTCCACAGATGCATGTCGTACACTACAATTCAGACCAGTATCCAAATATGTCCATGGCTGTAGACAAATCTGACGGCCTTGCTGTGCTGGGTGTCCTGATTGAGGTGAGATATCATGGGAGGGGGACGGAGTTGTGTGAATTTCTGTGGAGCAGAACCATCTAACTGCGTTTGTCATACAGGTGGGAGAGTTCAATCCGGCCTTTGAGCAGTTTCTGAAGTTCATCAATGGTATCAAATACAGGGGTGAGTTCAAAGTCTGTATGAGTAGTATGAGTAGTGACCAATATCAGCTACCCAGTGATAAATAGTCATTTCTTTGGAGTCAGAATCATCAAAGTCTTCATCAGCTCATTCGTGTGGTCACTCTGGACTTTTCTCTTGGTGTAAATAATTGTTAAACGGTTACAAATTGCTTCTCTTCTGGCAGATCAGAGAGTACAGGTGCCCGGTTTCAACATCAGAGCCCTGCTGCCTGCACGTTTGGATGAGTATTACCGCTATGACGGGTCGCTGACGACTCCTCCATGCTACCCCAGTGTGCTGTGGACAGTGTTCAGGAATCATGTCACAATATCTCGCAAACAGGTACAGATTTAATATTAGAATAATAAATTTAATTTTAAAGTGGCGTTAAATTGTGTTTTCAGACATGGTCTTCTCCTTTACGTTAACCTTAATTGGCGTGGAAAACTCTCTGGACATCAAATGCTTTTGTTTTGTTGTGTGTTTTTAGTTCCTGGCCCTGGCGACAGCCCTTTACTCCTCCCATGCCCAGGACTCAGCCCCCATGCCTATGAATGGCAACTTCAGGAAACCGCAGCACCCCGACAGCCGAGTTGTTCTGGTATCTTTTAAGGATGGTAAGTATGGTCTACCAACTGGGCTTGCTTCATTGTTTCAGCATGATTTCAAAGGTCATATAATTGACATAGCCACTACGCTGCTTTAAGAATGGCAAAGGGACACATTTGAATGATGTATGGGCATTTTTTCAGGGTTGTCACACTTCTATGCTATCACCTGCTTGTGGTTGAGCTGTCGCACTGACGTCTCTCTTAATTATCTTCAAAGTTGATTGACTTTGATGGGCTTGTTGGAAAGTAGGCCATCTTTTAAGACACAACAAATTAACCATCCTCTTTGACATACTGAGGGAGTCTGCAGCCCTTAAATTAGTCTTTAAAGGCTTACTTTTATGTGGTTGACTGGTGTACCACACTGTATGGTATTTAGCTCCATATAGTGTGGTATGAATGTGCATGTTTTCCTCATTTGCAAAGCTTCCCTCTCTGAGCTATGCTTCTCTAATGGCAATGAGGAATCCTTCGCTATCAGCTTTCATAAGTGGCATTTAGCAGGCGATGGCTTGTGCTTTTAGATTATCACTATGGGCTGTGGTGTTGCATGCTGGCCGTGAAGGCTCAAAGTCGTGCCAAGGAATATCCCACGGGCTGGGATGTTTAACGAGCTGTGATTGGCTGTGTGTCTGATGCAGGCAGAGGACTGCAAGGTACTCTTACAGCCGCATCTCCACTCACGAGGAAGCAAATCGTTCAGCAGCTGCTGGTCGGCGACCTAGCTGACCTGGCCGATGAAGGGCTCTATAAGCTCCTACCAAGTGGCTCAGAGAAGCTCCATGCTGGCAAGAAAAAAGACCTCAAGAACCAACAAAGTGCCACTCTGGCCAAATCCAAACAACAAACGCTGAATCCATCCCTGTGGAAGAAGAGCCAGACCAACCGTTCTGTGGGAAAGTTAGGGCTGGCTGAGGACGCACTGTGCTACGTCTCACTGGAACAGAGAGTTTTCCATCAGCTCAAACAGTCTCACGCTGAGAACCAGTTAGTTCAGGCTCTCAAAGATGCAACCTTCCCTGAGCTCAACCTCAAGAGCTACCTGGAGTGTAGGTCAGACTTAGCCCTCCCCACTATCCGACACATTCTCCGTGGACGGCCAACAGATGAAGCTTTGGAGTTAGATCGCTCTCTGACAAAAGCCTTGATGAATAAGGGCAAGGCTTCCACGGCAATCAAACAAAGCGTGCCAGTTACAAAATATGGCGGTTTCTCCCCAGCTACTGTTCCCAAGAAACCACACAGCCAGGGTTATCCACATCCTTGGCTTTTGCCAATGGAGTGGGAAGACTAGAGAGATTCCTGACATAATTGTGACTCACATTATGTCACTTTTTGTAGCAGACATCATTGTGTTTCCCACAATGAAAGACTAATTTTCAAGCCACGCCCTGCATTCCTTCAGTCCTTCTCACAAATGTATTTAACATTAAATTATTTTTGCCAGTATGTGCACATAATAATACTTTCTCACGAAAAAAAGTAGTTTGAGTTAATGTACTGTAGTTTTTGTCTTTGCAAACATACGCCTATGCAAAACCAGTAGGGGTGTAACGATTCATTTTTACAACGATTCAATTCATATCATTTTCCATGGTTCCGATTCGATTCAAGAACGATATTTGGCTCATCTAGAACGATACGATTCGATTCGATTCAAGGGCTAGAAATCGATTCAGTAACTTTTTTGTTTTGCCAAAAACTGAACCAGTGTGACTGTGAAATACATACCTGAATACTGTGGACAGTGCAGGGGAGTTTTTTCTTGAAAGAGAATCAGGGATTAATTAATTTTGGATATAAATAAGTAAACACAATGATTAATGGCAAAAACATTCACCTTTTATTAAATACTATAATTATCACAAGTTCAGAACCTGCTGATCAAAAGACAAAAAAAGTGTGATCAACATTCCTCCAGGCTGAATTACAGCTGAACAGTAGGTTTCCCTGCTACTTCTCTTGTGATTTTCAATCAGTATAAGAGGAGTACAATAATACACAAAAATAAAGTGCAACCTATTAGGTTGAATGGACAGTAGGTTTCCCTGCTACTTCTGTCATTTTACTCAGTATAAAAGGAGTACAATAATATACAAAAATAAAGTGCAACCTTACCTATCAGGTTGAATGGACAGTAGTTTTCCCTGCTTCTTCTCTGTCATTTTACTTAGTATAAAAGGAGTACAATAATATACAAAAATAAAGTGCAACCTTACCTATCAGGTTGAATGGACAGTAGTTTTCCTTGTTTCGTCATTTTACTCAGTCAGCACACATTCAACAGACAGCCACCGACTTGTCCAGAACACCTCCTTTTTTGCAGAAACCAAAGTGTTTCCACACACTCGACTTCAAATTCGGCTTGAAAATCTCCAGCTCATCCGCCTCCTCTTTGCTGTTAGCCATGCTTCGTTTTGTTTTGAGTCGGCACTACCGGCACATGCCGATGACGTCACACTCAGGGAGAGTGAAGCGAATCGAGCAACTTTACGATTAGAAGTGATAAAAATACATGTATATAACGTTGTCGTGCTTAAATAGAATGCACAAATGCTTAGTAATCGATATAATCGATTTTTGACCTTGTAAATCGATTTCACAGCGATATCGTCATCAGTGAGGGACAACTTGCCAAGGCTCTATCGATGCAGTTAGATTGTAGGAAAATAAATCAATGCATCGATGTAATCGATGAATCTTTACACCCCTAATAACCAGTCATCATTAGTGACTCAGTGCTGCAAGAAGCAATCGATATAAATTATTTACTTTCTCACAAAGACTTTAGCTCTGTTTGCCTCGCCATAAAATGCTTACAACGCACATGCTCTACGCTGTAAAATCTATATACACTAAGTTACATATAGTCCACAAAATGTCTGGAAACGAATATTTTTAGTGTCATAGTGTACGCCAAGTTCTGTTCTATAGTACGGTAATTTTGGGGCTATAATTGCTGTCTTGCACAATATAAGGATGCATCTTAACCAAAGCACTTGCAAGAGCTTAAGGGATTTACGTCATATCTCTGTCTTCTGTCACAATTTGTTCTTCTGTTCAAAATTCCATTTACAATAAAGAAAGAAACAGCTCCTGTACATAGGGAATCAATAAAAGCATTTTACATGAAGCATATTTTGCAGATTTCTTCCCCGCTGCATTTTGCACCTTTCACTGTGAACTTGTTTTTAAAATTGAGTCATTTTCAGGAAAGCACAGGGCCGGAGTGTGTGCCAGCACACACTGGCCGATAACTGTGCCAAACTGCCTGAAATAGACTCACTGTCTCATTTAAACATTATGGTATAGTCTTTATGCATGTTCAGTAATATATGTCTCGGCAAGAAGATTCTGGGCGGCAGAAATCAGAATGCAGCATGTAACCCAGAGGAGATGGTGGAAAGATACTTTGCCGTTTCTCATACTGAGGCTGTTCAGGTCCAGGGCTCTCATGGAGCTTAGCGGACAATATTAACTGAAGAGTAAAGCAACATGTGTCACTCAAAATGTTGGGAAAACAATGACTCCATACGGCATAATCTCTAGTAACTGACATAAGTTGATATATATATATAACATGATTTGTGCTACAGTTGTGTTCATTAACACTTCATTAAGTATGCCTATTTAAGTGAGTCATTTAAATGTTTGGTGCTCAACTACTTAAGAGGTAAAGGTTAAGACCAGCTTGGATTTTGTGTGCATGTGTGTACCAGGCAATATTACCAATCCAGAGGAATGGCTGAGATGATTTTACTGACATCATGTTAAAGCAGACAGGGAAGATTTCTAAGAGCAGAGTGTTGACATTAAGGCCCTGTATACATGTATTTTTAAAAAGGGATATTTCCCCCCTCCCACATGACCTTTATTTGCAAAATATTTCTGTTGCTGCTTCCGAATAAGTTCAAAATTAGCCACCCACAGACGCCATAACGGGAGATATGATGAACTCACTGTCTTTGGTTTAGTTTTAATCACTGTTTGATGATCCAGGGTGCTTCTGTTGGTTTTAGAGTTGACTGATGTGCACGATGTGTGGAGAATTGCAAGATGACGCTATGAACGGATTGTCTTGAATGTCCCGTTCAAAAAAATGAAAACAAAAATCACCAAAAAAAATAGGTTTTCACAAAAACAAAGTTCAAATCGACGGGGTATTAAACAACTTCACCAAACAATAAAAACTAAGATTAACCCCCCCAAAAACATGGCGGTTTCAGACTGTAACGACTTGGTGTCTTTCACACTCCACACTAGCTTGAGCACTCCTGCCTTTAATTAAAGGTTCCCGAGATGCCAGGTCAGGTGGCACATTAAAGTGACTCAAAAAATAATAGGAAACTAGGACTTGCTAGAAATGCTCTAACAATTTCCATCCACACTAGATTGCAAAAACGACTCCAAACGCTGGCAGGTGTTAGCTGTCTTACCCAGGTTGCCCCCATCACAAAGGTGGTAGAGTGTCCAGGCTAATGCTAACTTTTTTTGTGGAAGCACCTACTGGAAATCTCATTACTGTTGATCCCCTTCGATATAAAGACGAAAAAGCTCACTCAAAGATAAGAGTGATGCTCTGTATAAGTTTTCCTGCTACTCCTTGACAACAATCCCATTCTTGAAATCGTCCCTCGATCTGCGGGTTTGAGCGGGCCTAATTCAGAGCCGTCGTTTCTGACGGAATTTAAACTGCAGTTTCTGTCGGACCAACTAACATTGGATGCAGCGGACAGCTCCGTTCGTCCGTGAAGTGGTGCGGCAATACAATAGTTTAAGGGTATAGTAGTGTTTAGACCGAGCAGTGCTAACAAAATGTAAACAACGCGGCATCTACAAACCGCCATTGTTGTTATTGTCTCTGGCACATGCTCATTACACAAAGCAACAATGAAATGCATGAACTGAGGAGATTAATTAGTGAAGAAAAACTCTTTGTGTGTGGACGACGGGCCAAAACATTGAGGAAAATATATGTTTTCCAAAATATCTGTATACAGCTGGACACGGCCTAAATGTGGTTTAAACATTTCTACAACAACAAGTGCGCCATGTATGTATGTATGTAAGTATGTGCGAGTCTATACTGCCAGCTTGTGTCATGAAAATACGTGTTTCTTATATAAAAGGCATTAAAGTTATAATTCTTTGTTAAATCTTTAACACTTTAGCTCTTTTTCCCCAAACGGTGCCAAATCGGAGGCATCTATTCCTCTGTGATTTTCACTTTCACCTTCTCTCTTCTCTCTTTTTCTCTGTTACTCAGCTGACCTTTCTTGGATAAACACTGGTATGTTGCTTTTGGATATTTTGTGCTTCTTATCTCTTGTATGTCATCTTTAATTTCATATGCAGCATCAAGGGATCCCCCTGTTTTAGGCCACTAACAAATAAGACAACAGAAGACTTAAATGAGCTTTTCTCTGTCTGATTTAGTTCATAGAGGAAAATAATATCAGAAATCATGACTTTAATTAATGATCCAACTAAACCAATAATAAAATGAATGTATAGATTGCATAGAGACGTGTGAAATATAACAACATAATGATTATTTCTCATACTACTAAAACATTTGGTTTAACAAGTGAATGATTTAATTGTTTGGGTCAAAGTTTTGTTGATTTAATAAATTTACAGTGATTTATTCCCATTTATGATTTGACAACTCACACACACATACCAAATGAAAACATAGAGACCTTAATTATCACATAATCCCTTCTGCTTCTGTTGCTCCATGCTTTGCAGGTTTACTGGTTCCCATACTGGTGGGCTCTGCACTGGGACTTGTTCTTATTGTCTCTTTAATATGCTGTCTAGTCAGGCTAAAAAGGTAAGCGAAGGGCAAAACAAGACCACAGATACGCTTGCTGAGATGCTGATGCTGTATTAAAAGTGTCATCATCATCATCATCATCATCATCATCATCATCATCATCATCATCATCATTTCCCTCATTAAGCCATGTGATACAAGCTTATGAATTGTTTGTCAAACCTGGTGCACATCACACTGTTCGAAGACATTTGTATGCCTGAATCCGTGTGAACAGATTCAAAACTTTCCATGGTTTATTTTAGGTGGTGACATTTATATATTTATATAACATGGACAATTGCAAAGGGCATTTCAAGACGACAGTTAACCCAAATTGACCCTAACATGCAGGCTTTTCTAAAAAGGAGCCGAAGACTTCATAGGAGTGGAGTCCTCATTAGTTGAGATGTTTGGGAGTGTACAGTCACTTGTGCCGCTCTCAGTCATCCTCGACAGTGTGATGTCGCATAACTTATGAGCCCATTTTGTATAATTGTGGTCTTCTATAAAAGTCTACCGTAGTGGTTCCCTAGAGAATATTTTCTAGGGTTTGCATCACTGTGTGACTTGCAGAGATTTTTTTGCGGTGCATAGTTAAGAATGCATTTGAGAATCCACTTTTAAATTGGAGAAAACTAGCTTACAAAGAAAAGTAGAATAGTCATGATGCAGTGTTCTGCTGGGAAACCTTGGGTCCTGGGTCCACCCACCCACACTTTTGCAGGCCAAGTACATCCCCTCATG